GGCGGAGCGTAAGAGAAAAGAGGGAAAGGAAGGGGTCGCGCATGCGCGATGGGGTTGTAGACGCCGCGGGAAGGAATGCCTGGACGTGAAAGAGCAGGGAGCGAGCGTCGGTTAGCATATGCTCCCTGCGTCGACGTTGCTAGGCGAGAGGTGGGGCAGCGTAGGAGAGAAGGGGAGCAGACGCGCATGCGCAGTAAAGGAAGTCACGCCAAGCACCGGATTAAGGTCGACCCTAAGCTGCTTCGCATCTAAAAATCCTTTGCATGGTTCTTATAGAAGGGGGAAAAGGCACCTAATTTTTGTTTGCCTCGTTGGTGGCACGGCGTAGTGCCCTGTAGGGGATGAGATAAGGGGATGAAAAGAATAGTAGGAGAAAAATAAAGAAGACTGAGCAGTCATCGCACACGAGTGACAGAACTAATAGAGTAAGGGGAGGGGGGCATTTAGTACCGAAAAACGTAAAAAAAACTGCATTTGCTATGGGTACCGGGCCACTACGGATTATATTTAAACGAAATGGCGGACTCTTTAGCAGCAGTATCCCTCAGTGGGCCCACCATCCCAGTTTTGAAAGATACGGCTTACCTGACAGCGCTAAGGTTCCGAAATGCTTGTCTGCAATGGGGAATAGGTAATTTGGATAAATTTAAAGATTTCGAGCGTTTGAGGTATTGCTGGAATAAACAGTGGTGTGTATCTCGCAAGTTACAGGTCACTTATACCAGATTGCACTGTGCAGTCCCACAACTAAATTATTACCTTAACAAAGCTCGACTCGAGGCGTCACCGCTGTGCATTTTTTGCAACGAAATTGAAACAATTGAACATTTCTTTTTATTCTGTCATCGTTACTCTTATCAGAGAAAAAGATTTTAAGTAGCCCCATTACAAAAGCTAGGAATACAAGTAGGTCTACCAGTACTTTTATCACTTGGCGGCAGTTCATTTGGTTACTGCCACGGGGATATATGCTCCACTGTGTTTGATTACATCAACGCAACTAAAAGATTACCGTGCTAGAGAACCCTAACCATTTAGATCTTTAGTTTTATAATTCGTAGGGATGTCTGTCAAAAACAAGAGATGGTTTGACCGCTTGCTCAGCAAACATTTTTGTTTATTGGTAGTATTGTCTGTAAACTAATTTTTCAGATTGGCTTTAATTTCATTTTAGTTTCAGTTAAGTATCTTGCCGCCCGGTTCTTGGCCCATCCCCCTGTGTAGGTGAGCGCCATCCATCTGAGGTCATCAGCATCAGAGGAGGGGAGGGGGGGGGGCACGGTCGAAGGAGTCTGAGGACGATGCACTATTCGGCGAGAGCTACACGGCGTCAGGAGATCAGGACGGCGGGCCGATCGGCGAGAGCTACGCTGGCGTTGGAAGTCGCGGGCGACACAACCGCTCGGCACGGAATCCATCAAGCGAGAAAAGCGTTTTGTTCCGGTTGGTGAAACAGGCCCGATTGAGCGACGGCGAAGCCGCCTTTATTTGGGAGCAGCAGCTTGCCGCCTTACGCATGTATGACACCACGCTTGAAAGCAATTGACTAGACGAACACCCGTGGAACTTGATGGTAGTCCGTCCGCATATTGTAAATAATGCAATTGCTTTCCTAGGGTAAACCCTCACTGCGAGCCGCTCTTACGAGAGCTAAGGTGTTGGTACTGTCTAGTTTTGGTGCAATGCAAACTTGGGACCTATACGTAAGCACCATCTTCTACGTGTCCTGAAAAGTCAACATCCCCGAGTGTTGCCACACATCGACCTGGCTGAGGCGCAGAAACGTTCTTCGTTGTCCATTGGAAGCAGGTGCGACTGCATCTTGGGTGTTGGACTGTGCGCAGTGCTTCAGCGCACGGCGAAACTCGTGGGCGCACCTTCCTGGAGGAGACCGGATTGAGCAGCTGTCCTTGAGCTACCGTACTTGTGTCCATGCTTCTTAGCAGCAAAGCCACCAGACTTGACCTGGGGAAAGCTGGAACTGTCCTATCATCCGGGCCACAGGAGTTTTTTTAGATGGATCCTTACCAGTAAACTCGCTTCGAAACGCGATTTAATTCGCTTGATAACTAGCGTCTCCAGTCACTGATATTTGGTACCAAAGGACTTGGAATGAATTTGTTCATTTACATCTGTTGCATGTCATCCCTAATTCACTGAGAAAAAACATCATTGAATTGCCTTTCAGCTTCTTTTTTTTTTTTTTCGTAATACCATAACAGTGACGGCCACGTGTGGCACTGCGCACATATATCTATAGCTTTCAAGTGCGAGCCCTTACCGATTTCTTTTAAGTGTTACGTGGGGGATATCGACTGCAGCATTGCAACATTTGAAGCATCGACTATCGACTCACGATAAAGTGTCGTGATACTCGTCATTGTAGAAGTACGTTAAGAGGTGCGAGGAGCGTTCCACACGATGCTCTCCGTATTGCCTGCTGGCGTTAGGTACGCGTCAGCTATGGTGTTTGAGTAATACTGAGACGGACATAGAACAAACAGCAATTTCAAAAAAAAAAAAGAAAAAGTAGTACTTGGCTGTGCGTTTGATAAAGAAGCGGAAGCGATGCCTTGTACTTAAAGCAACACTAACGAGAAACGATTGGTTGAGATTGACAAACTGCGCTCTGATAACTCTAATATCACACGTTTCACTAGTCGTAAGTTCATTATAAGCGGATAAAATCATCGCCACGTGTGACGTCAACTTTTTTCAAAATGTATTTGTCATATTTTCACAACATTGCCTCGATGAAGTTTTCTGGAACTTCGTATGGAAGCTCTATGACACAGACAGATGACAATGTACTCCATTTTCATCAGTTCGAAGCTACGTAGGACTCTAGACGCCTGCAAAATTTGTGACGTCACTGTGTTTGGTGCGGGAATCTCGAGGTGGCGTCTCGAACTGTATTTTTCTTTCGCGTGTTTCCTTGGTGCACGCTGGTTAATAAAAAAAAAAAATATGAGTGCAAATAAACGGCGCGGGACACGAAGAAAGAAAACACGCCAGCGCTCATTCGCAATCGAATTTTGCTAGAGGATACATTGCGTCGCGCATGTCAAATGGGGTTACAGAACTACACCACGTGTTCAGCGTCTGTTAATTAAACTGCATTCCTTGTCATGCAGTGACAGAGATGGTTGCCTTACGTACGTATCATCGCGGTTTTTTTTTTTTGTGATGTCATGTGCCTCCGCGTGATTTCTCGCGTGGTCTGATGCGGGTGACAAAACAAATTTATCGTGCTTTCGAACACAGGTTAATCGCATTTACACAGGCAAAATGAGACGAAAGCGTGCCCGATTAAAGAACTTTTAGCGTTCTGAAATACGAGTGAATTGATACATCGACCGGTCTGGCCGATGTACACGTGACCAATTAGAAGAGATTTTGTGCACATCGAGCGCGGATCAGTCAAGTTCAATTCATTTTGTGCGATTCTGACTGCGCAAGGGGACATAAAACAGCTCGTGGTCGAAAAAAAAAAAAGGCAAATCCCACGTACAGTGGGAATCGATGATATGAGAAGCATGAATGAGGAAGGTCGATGTGTCACTCAAATCTTACGAGGCGGACGTAAACCTATGCCGTGCATGACTTACCATGTCATGATTGTCACGTTCTGACGTGTAATTTACCATTGTAGTCTATTCACGTCACGGGATACCAAATTTGGTATATGTGGAGCTATAGCGAAATCGCCGCGAGCACACTGTGAGCGTAGCGTGTAGTCACGTTTTACATGACACGCATGTGATGATTGTCATGTTTGAACGTGTCGTTTACCTTCGTCGTCTATTCACGTCACCTGATACCAAATTTGGTATATGTGGAGCTAGCGAAACGGTCGTGAGCGCGCTATGAGCGTAGCATGTAGTCATGTTGTAACATGACACGCATCTCATGATTACCATGATTGCACCAGTCACACACCTTCGTCACTCATTTACGTACTGTAATACCAAATTCGGTATATGTGACGCTAGCGAAACGGCCGCGAGTGCATCATGAGCGTGGCATGTAGACATGCCATTAAATGACACGCATCTCATGATTATCACGTTTGCACCAGTCATATACCTTCATCATTCATTTACGTCCCGTAATTCCAAATTTGGTATATGTGAAGCTAGCGAAACGACCGCGAGCGCACCATGAGTGTGGGGTGTATAGTCATGACTTTCATGACATACATGTCATGATTTGTTCGTTAGGGTCTGTCACTTACGTTCGCCATGTAGTCATGCCATACTATAGCAATTTTGCAATGTCTCATGTGAGCGAAACCACCACAAAATTAGCAAGACAATCAAATGTAAATCATGACATTTGTGACATACATGTCATAATTTTTGTTATGACTGGTCACTTGTGCTCGTCATACAGTCATGTTATGCCATACCCATTTCGGTATCGATACCAGGAGTGCTAGAAGTCGTAGGCGGCTAGATAGATAGATAGATAGATAGATAGATAGATAGATAGATAGATAGATAGATAGATAGATAGATAGATAGATAGATAGATAGATAGATAGATAGATAGATAGATAGATAGATAGATAGATAGATAGTGCAGGCGAGAAAACACTTTGCCGTCTTTGTACTTGGGATGGTTAAGGAGCCCTATCAAGTGGATATCTCACTCGCGGAGCGGCTTCGGCACGTGCGTACCAGGACGTGAAGCGAGCTTCTAGTGAAATTTACAGGAAAGGAATTTACATACATGAGAAGCCGTGTTGATATATGATCCTTCTTATCTGGCGGAGAACGCGGCTTCCAAGTGTGTCATCGGCACGCGCGCTTGGCGTCACGTCGGCAACGGAGTGCAAAAGAGCTTACGGATGTTTTCGGTCAGTTTCTGTCTTTTTTTTTTTTTTATTCCTCGTGTTCCCCGCTTCAAGCGCACGCTGCGCGTGCATTTCGCGGCAATCGCATCAGAAGCGGCGCGTCCGGAAGGGCGGAAGGGTAGGTGTTCTGTGGGAGGCTACGAATTCCTCGGATGCGTCTTGCAAGGCCGGGCGTCGGCCCATCGCTCGCGTACCGCGCGTTCTTTCTCGTGCGCGGCTGCGGTTTTAGTGGTTTCCGCGGGCTCGAGATAGCGAGCGATAACAGCGACCCGTGCTGCGCCTCAACCCTCGTCGGCTCTTATCGACTCGAAGGCGGCATTCGCGGGAACCGGCCGCGCAGGCACATCGAGCCACGGGTCACCCAGCTCGGCGGCAGGTAGGTCTACATGTAGACGGTGCACGCGTGCATGAGAAACTTCATAGCGTGGTACGAAATGTTTTGACCTCGGCCAACTCTTTCGCGATCTTTTACGTGCAGGGCGCAAAAATATTGGACATAAAATAACAGCCCTGGTACAAAAGTCAAGTGAGCGTGAGCCTTTTTGTGTCCCTTCTCTATGGAAGATGCTTATTTTAACTTAGTTGCCCGCCCGATTGGTTCACAATTTTAAATACTAAACAACGCTGATTTGACACATCCTGTGCATTAGTGTTCGTTTTTTTTGCCTTTTGTCAAATCCGCGCAATCCAGCACTTTTGAGATGCTGAGCTTAGGAGATGCATTGTGCCAAGATCCAAAGTGCTTGAGTGAGTAGGAAATGTCATGCACTAGCTGCTGCACAACTACCTGTCATTACCCCACGTATGTAGTATGGCACCGGGATAAAACACGAACGAAAACACAGGGGTGGAACACTTGCGTTTGGGAAAAAAATTGGCAGATCCCACGTACAGTGATAATCGATGACATGCGAAGCGCGAATGAGAAATGTTCATATGTTACTTTAAAATCAGCACATCGTTACGAGGTCGAGGGAAATGATGCTGTGCATGACTACCGTGTGCTGATTATCATGTTTGGATTTGTCTTTTACCTTCGTCATCTATTCACGTCAAGTGATATCAAATTTAGTATATGGGGAGCTAGCGAAACGACCGCCAGCACGCTATGAGCGTGGTATGTTGTCATGTTCTTACATGACACGCGTGTCAGAATTATCATGTTTGCACCAGTCATATATATCGTCACGTAACACCAAATTTGGTATATGTGGAGCTAGCAAAACCGCCGCGAGCGCATCATGAAGGGCTTAATATACTCCGATGTAGCGTTGACGCGCGCGCACGCTGGGCACAGTGACGCTACGTTAGCATAAACGCGAGCACTCCATAGTCTGACGCCAGGCGCGACCAGCGTCCGTCAGCGCGGCCCGACGGCAACCGATGCGAAATGCGGCATGCTGCATTTCGCGCCGATGCGTTATCCAGAACACTGCGTATCCCTCTTTTCGTGACGGAGAGAGGCCGGACGCGCTGAGACGCACATGCGTCAAAGCAACGCAGCGTGGCGTGTATATATGGCAGGACCGGCGCCTGGCGTGGCAACGCCGGCGTGACGCGACGTAATGAATGCCGGCGAGCACGCGCACCGCGTCGCGTCTAAATGTATTGGCGCCTTGACTGTGGCATGTAGTCAAGTTCCTACATGACACGCATGTCATGATTTTCATGTTAGGGTCTGTCGCTTGTGTTCGCCATGCAATCATGCCATACGATACGAGTTTTGCAACATGCCATGTGAACTAAACCACCGCAAGAGCAGCAGGACCATGAACTGTATATCTTGGTATTCATGACATACATTTCATGATTTTCATGCTATGACTAGTCAAATATGTTCTTCATATAGTCATGTTATGCCGTACCAAGTTTGGTATCGATACCATTATCGAATTGGCCAAGAGAGCTAAATGTCGTAGGCGGCTATATAGATAGATAGATAGATAGATAGATAGATAGATAGATAGATAGATAGATAGATAGATAGATAGATAGATAGATAGATAAATAGATAGATAGATAGATAGATAGATAGATAGATAGATAGATAGATAGATAGATAGATAGATAGATAGATAGATAGATAGACAGACAGACAGACAGACAGACAGACAGATAGATAGATAGATAGATAGATAGATAGATAGATAGATAGATAGATAGATAGATAGATAGATAGATAGATAGATAGATAGATAGATAGATAGATAGATAGATAGATAGATAGATAGATACGCTCAAAGTCGCCGAAGTTCGCTAATAAATGCTTCGCATTAAAAAAAAAAGAACTTGTTCGTATTACCTTTAGTTGATGCTTGCTACTATACAACCACTCTGAAGACGTACAAACCGCGGAAGGAAAAACAGTGCCGTCGTTTTCATGCTTGCAGCTTACATCTGATTTCTGTGCGCTTTACTGGCAGTTATGACGTATTGTAACCAGCATCTTCTATACTTTGTCTTGTTTCAACTCGAGTCCGCCGTTCAGTCGGCCGCGGTGGTGTAGCTGTTACGGTGCTCTGCTGCCGATCCGAAGGTCGTGGGTTCGATTGAGGTGAAATGGTTTAGGCCAGTGTACCGTGCAATGTCAGTGCACGTTGAACTTCAAATGGTCAACATTTCCAGAATCCTCCACTACGGTATATCTCATAATCATATCGCGGTTTTGAGACATTAAACCCTCGTTGTTATTGTTAATAATTCAACTTGTCGCAAAACGCACTCCAGTGATGCTGTAGCTAAGGGTCGTAATACTGGCGCTTGGCGAATCCTGAGGGTGAAATGCGCCTTCTAGATTGCTCTTTCGGGCTTGTGTTTCACACGGACGTGACCGCATGGTTATAGCAACCCACAACACGACATATATCCAAACTTGCAATGTAACATGAAAGTAAATTATAATCGTGAGAAACGCTCTTTCCAGTTTTTTTTTTTTTAGTAATATGTGGTCGTATCATATATGCGTGTTACGTTGCAGCTAGGGCTTGATATTATTCCGAGCACACCCGAACTCTTTTTGAGAAACTTAGCGTATATGTAACTTGCAGTGGAGGCACGGAATTCCAAAGAGATGGTGAAGCCGATGGGTACTTCGGTACTAATAGTGGTTGCTTCTTTGTGGTTTGGCAAATTTTCCCTTCAATAATACTTCCTCTACTTCTTTCTTTTTTTTATCTTATCTGTGTTTTTTTGTGTACGTCTGTCTCATCTCTATTTTTTTTTCTCTTTCTTTCAATTTCTGAGTCTTTCTTTTTCGATTTTTCAGTCTTTTCTCTCTCGCAGTATTTGTCACTCTTCTTTCTTTCTGTCTATTTCTATCGCCATCTGTTTCTTGATCCTCTATTTCTATCCTTTTTTTAAAGATGATAGTCTTTCTTGGGGACTTTCGACGAAAAAAGCTTTGGTCTGTCTGTCTGTCTCTGTCTGTACATTTGTCTGTTTCTCCACCGTTACCGTGAACCAGGTACTCTTAACAGCACCAGCCAATACCCCGAACGGCCGACCCCATCCGCAGCGCCCACCTATGTTGCTCAAGAATCAGCGTTCGTACGAGTGCGATTTTTAATTAAAAATAACTTATTGCGCATATCTGAGGCACCATACCAACACGTATATAATCTGCATGTGCGTCTTTTACTTCAAAAGGCATAAATAAGTAATTCTAAGGACCGTAGCGCCTATCACGCTGCGCTGACCATGCAACGCTTGCACGGAAAGGCGAGTGTTTCCAGCGCTTTGCTAAGAAGACACGGTGGTGGCCCCTAACAGTCGTTTTGCGTTCTACACCTTATCACCTCTGAGATGGGCGCGCACGCCAGCCTCGGGGCCACGCGCTTTGTTTTCAAAAAAAAAAACTGCCATATAGCGCTCATGTCTCAAGTGTGACGTGACTTGATGCGCTCGTTCGCCTCCGCTGCACGCTTGAGGCACTCTAACGCAGCGCCTCCGGAATACCATTGACCAATTTTCTTGCACAGAACATCTAATAAATGTTTTTTTCACTCTCTCCACACGCAAGACTATCGTCTTTCGATGACATTTGCAGATTACATGCAGATATGGGGCCAATTTTTTTTTCTGCCTTTCGTTCTCTGTGCTTCTTTCTCTTTTTAGGATACCACTCTCAGCCCTCCTTTTTACCCTTACATTTCTCCTCCTCAACCTCGCTTCCCTTTTCAACCCCCTTACTGTACTGCTGATGTACTGCTCTGCTAGCGTGCCTGGATAGCGTGCCTCTGCGGGCTATATGTGTGCGGTTTCAAATCTCGTATCGCGAAGAATTTTGCCCCTAGATTTTGCCACTTCCTCTATTTTTTTTTTAATTTCTTTATTTCTCTCTCTCAGAAACGTTGTCTCGCCCATGAGTTATTTCGTCCTGCACTGAGTTATGACAGTGAAATATAAGATGAAGATGACGGCGATGAAGCAGAAGAAGTGAGTTCGGAGCTGATCATATCTGAGACAAATTCTCGCGCTACGTGTTTATTACATGAATGTATTTAAGGAGTTTTTTTTAAGGTAGCTTTTTTTTCAAAAGTTTATGCACTAGCTTTCAATTTATTTCCTCACTAAATATTTGTAGAAATGTACATTCCTAAACGCATTCAATAGAATCTGCAGACATCAGCAATGGACATATATGGATTGCCAGAGAAAAGTTCGTACGCCCTTTTTAGAAAACCGAACTGCTCACTTTGGCTTCAACAAAATGTTCGTTTTTTCAAGACACCATTTTATGCTAATAAGTTTGCTCATACGGCCGATATCTTGGCAATTCCATATCGAATAGCAACAACAATACTATGCAGATACCATAACAGCTTGATGCATTTCCTGTAAATCGACAAACCTCGAAGTGGCCGCAAGTTCGCTACGCTTGCGAACACAGGATTATGGATAACTCATGACTTATCTTGTCCAAGTCGATTCTTATTACGCTATAGTCGCAAACACGCGCTGGTAATGCTAATACATGTGTCCTTCGTTTAACCGAAGTGGCCTTCGTTTTGCCAAATGGATTATCATAAAGCATCATGGGTAAAGCTGAAAAAAATATAGACAAAACACTTCGTGTACCACCGCGGATCACTAAACGACAATGATAAAAAAGACAGGAATGAAGAAAATGTTTCCTTGACGCGCCAAAAATAGGTACACCTCGAAAGCAGATCAAAGTGCTGAGATTAGTGGTCGTTTTCTTTTTTTTTTCATAAGTGTACTGCCTCTTGTGCAGCTATCCGGGCCCCCTACGATCCCCCTCTCCCTCCTAACTACAGTAAACATCCCAGAAATGCGCTTTGTTGTGCTAGTTGATCAAACATGATAAAGTGTAAAAACAATGCAAAGTAGAAGAGATGAAGTACAATAAAATAACAGTCAGTTGTTAGCCAGCACTCGTCCTGTGTGTTATTTCTTCATATTTCTTCTCTTCTAGATTGCGATGTTTTTTTTTTTTTTACCTTTTAACAGTACACATATTCAAAGCACAGCGTATAATTTCCTTGTCCGCTTGAAGGAACTCACTTGTGGTCGTCTTGCATTATGCATAACTCGAAATCCATTTGCTGATATAAAAGAGTGCATATTGTATGCTCGCACGCACGGCTTTTAAACAAGGCCATTCGCGCCTTAGAATTTGTTTTATACTAATGAGAAATTGAACGCAGTAAGTTGAAAGCCGTCATGATTTTCTCGCACATACTTCTCACCTAATGCGCAACGAAGAAGCTCTATGAATGTCATTCGTGTTAATGAACTCAATTCGCTCTAAACATTGCTTCACTGCAATGCACATTTGTAGTGCCGTGAAGTAACAGTTACGTATTGCCCATTTGTCGTGAAGTCGCTCTCAGTGCCACGAAGCCGAACAACATTTCCACGTAGAGCTGCGTAGAATACGATGATACATGCAAAACGCGATTGTTTATAGGCCTTTATCTAGGCGATTGTATGGCGACTCCGTGTTCGGTTATCTTTGCAGGTTATGCCAGAATGTTTATGAGAACTGACGATGATGCTAATCTTTTCGCTCACTTTTCTTTATTCACATTCGCATTACAATTGCTAGCCAATAACATCACATGTACTTTCCTTGGCATCATGGTCAATTGATTTTCATTATTGTGCTTTAAAAAAACGAGCCCTAAAAGTATCGCTTTTCTTTCATTTATGCCAGAATGTCATTTTATATTATGAAGATTGCAATGAGTAGCGCGGGCGACATGCAATACATGAGGAAAAACTATTTGTGGCTCACTCTCCACAAAAGAGATATGAGACGCACTTCAACTTGAATACCACTAATTGCTTTTTTTTTCCTCTGCGTGTGTAGTGTGCTACCAACAAAGCCTTAGGCAGATTTTTTTTTTTTTTTTGCGTTGAAGGGGGGGGGCACCTTCTTTATTTTCAGGGGGGGGGGGGCACCCTTAAAATGGTCATTTGTCACTTTGTATGCCAAGGCGAAAAAAATTGCGGGGTGGGAAGGGGCCCGGGCCTGGTGCGCCACTGCCTGGCTACGCCACTGGCTGCCGATAAGTTACAAATGTTGCTGACAAAGCGCATTTAACGGCAGCACTGTCGAAACGCTATCCTCATGCTCTGTTAACTTGTATATTTCACGTCTTTCAAAAAAGTGCTGACACTGTTGTATGGTTCTTGAATGTAAACACTTGACAGAAGTCTGTCTGCAGTTTTGTATGAAACTGGGAGATGATATAGACTCCAACCAAAAGTTTTGAAGAAAACCACGTTTCGGAACCGACTTGGTTCCGAAACGTCGGGTGTCATCTGTACAGAACACGTGGTCACTCAGATGTTCGTTCCTCTAGAAGTCGCGAGACGACCTTGCATAGACTCGGCGAGCATGCAGAGTCTGCTGACGACGCACTTCTTTTGATCCTTGGTTGTTGGCTCTTGGGGTGTTTTTATCTTGCAGGGATGAAGACAGCACTACTCGTGTGCGCCGTGTTCTATACGGCTTACGGAGGATCTGAATTGCCGCCGGTATGTCCTCTGGAATGTCGGTGCCGTGACAACTTTACAGTGGTAGCGTGTTCACACCGACAGTTGCGGCGTTTTCCCGCGCCGCTCCCCCATAGTGCTGAAGAATTGGACGTCAGTTTCAATTCCATCGAAAATGTTCCGACTCTCGTTGTTGCGAGGCTCACCAAGGCCACGTTCTGTCACAACCAGCGTGAGGACCATTACCGCGCGGCACTTTTGCCCACGCGACAGTTTTGCGAACGCTGGACTTCAGCCACAACGGTCTGGTTTCACTGGCAGCCGATGATCTGGACGGCTTGGGAATGCTTACAGACTTGGATCTCAGTTGTAACGAACTGCGCAAGCTAGAACGGTACGCTTTCCACAGGGTTCCGAATCTGAAAACGTTGAAGCTATCGGGAAACCCGCTGAAATTTGTCGACAGCTCCTGGTTCAAGAACATGGACGTCCTCGAAATGCTTGGAATTGCGGGCGATAGACGCTTATAGCCTGGCTGCCGACGCCTTCGCTCTCGCTCCCAGGCTGCAGCACGATCGATCTTTCCGAAAACGATTTCACCGACGTTCCGAGAGAGCTCGAAAGTGCCCGAAATCTCAGGTTTCTAACGATGGACCAGAATCCCATGGCGAAGTTGAGCAGGACGTCCCTATTGGGCGCGAGGAACTTAGAGGAGCTTCACCTCAGTCAGATGCCACGACTCGAAAGCGTTGACAAGGGCAGTCTTTGGCACATGAAGCGACTCACCCTCGTCAACATGAGCAACAACGTGCGACTAAAGGAGATCAGTGATTCGGCGCTTCATTGGGTGAAGTCGCCGTCCGTGAGACTTATACTGACCAACAACAGTTTGCAGTTTCTCGATTACGCATACAGCGGACTGTGCGATGCAGGATTGCTTAGCCTTGACGGCAATCCTTGGATGTGCGATTGTCAGCTGCTGTGGATGAGACGCTGCAATGCAACGCAAGATCTGAGGTAAGCTGGCGCGTCTGGCTCTCGCATTTCGTATATGGTAATTAGTAAAGCGGGTCACGGGTGCATAAAAATTTTGCCGCGAATACTAGTTATCGATGCCGATTTTACCTTTTCTAAGGCAATATATTACATTGATCTGTGAAATTTCGACACCGCGATAATGACTTTCTTAGGGAAACTGGACATTCCTTCATCTTAATTGAATTTATATTCCATGCGTTCTCCTCAACCTCATATATAGGTTATCCCAAAATTCAATGTGGCGACCAGAAATGACGTAAAAGCACCGTCTCCCAACAACCTATGAAAGATGCCAAGTCTTTTTTAAACTCATTCGCGCTAAAATATTCGATGGTGATTGTGTTTGATTACAAACGTGCATAAAACAGATGTTAATTGATACCTAGAACTGAATGGCACCTAGACGGCGGTTAACTGTGATGAATGCGTGACAGCGAGATACGATGTGATTATCTCTGAGTATCAGATGAATATTTAGAATAATCGAGATTGCGCAATCGGTACAACTATAGGGGAAAAGCCTGAAATTCTTTACGGGGGAAGGGTGGTATGATGCTTGGTTGAGTATGTTAGTGCGAAGGTTTATATATAGAGAGAGAAGAATTCGCGCATTCATACCTACACCGGAAAAAAGTAAAATAATGAAACCGCAGTACACGTGTCATCGGCACAAAAATAAGTCATTGGTTGAATTGTGAACAGATTATCTATTAATATCAGCGCGTGCGCAACATCGTGCCATAATCTGACAAGAAAAAGGAAAAAAAAAAACTAGTCTATCTGCGTGAAAGAGTAGCAGCAAAAAAATAATAAACAGCGGGTATGGTCAAGAGCAATGCTAGTTTGTTGCAGTACTTTCATTCATACCACAATTTAAACAACTTTAAATTTATGTATTATATATCAGACTTACCGTATGTTTCTCTTGGGGCATATGCAGTCAAGGGGAACATATTCAACTATAGGGTATACAAGACACTAGACTATCGACCTTCCTTCATCTCATGTCAGGCGGGACAATTTCATTGTCATCTGGCTGGAAGGTAACTGTTTTTTAGCAATATCAAGAGGTATATATGTGCTTCTTTGAACCGTCGGTTAGCAGCACGTATCAATACGCAACAGCGGGGACCACTATCGCTGTCTACGCGCAGCAGTATGCACCTATATTCTCAGTCTCGGGCAGTGCGATGATTTTGCAGCCTTTTAGGGGCGAAGCTCCTTAGGGCGTGGGCTGTGCGTCCCCTGTAGCCTGTATGTAGCCACCTCTAGTTTAGTTCTTGCAGTGTTCACTAGATGGCGGTACCGTCCCCTGTTTTTTTTTTCTCCAGCCACCACGTGGCTGAGGCCTGCGCGTAGACCGACCACGTGCATGCGCAGGTGCTGTGAAGTGTAGCGTATTTATTTATTATTGTGGTTCTTTTTGGCTTAGACCAGTGTATTTTAGTACAGTTTTCTAACACGTGGACATCGGTAAACTGAGCTAGCCATGGTCAAAAAGACCGTAAAGTGTTCAGAGTGCGGGATAGGGAGGAAGGTGGAAATTCGTGCGGAAGAGAAAGCAGAAGATGACGCCAAGTGTAGACAGTGCGAGTTCGAGGAGAAAATGAAAAATATGATGGCGGTCCAGAGTGGGCTCATGGAGAAAATCGCAGAGCTGGAGAATGCATTGGCGAAGGAGCGAGAGAAAACGTCAGCCATGGATGAAAGGCTCCGGGCAGCCGAGAAAGGCCTATCGAAGGTCGTGAAGGGGAACGAAGACGCAGGTGACGGCGGAAGCATTATGGCGACGACCCCCCGTGCGGGAGAGGTGAGGGAAACAGGCATGACAAAGGCAGATACATTGGCCACAGGGCCCAGCTACCGGGAAGTAGTTTTGAGGGAGGGAGGGAGCAAACCAGCAGCCGTGACTCACGCTAGTCACCTAGTCGGCAGCCAGGTGCAGGTTTCAGAAGGAATGTCTGAACAGGTCATCATCGCCGGTGACTCAAATTTAGTCCGATGCGCAGCGGCAATCAAAGAAAGGGTGAAAGGCGACAAGAGAGTTGCGATAGGGACGTTCCCAGGACAAACGCTGGGGACAGTAATGAATCAAGCGGGTGAACAACTCGCAGCTAAAGCTAACAATCGTAACCTCGTTGTAATTGCGGGAGGGTTAAATGACGTCCTGAAAAAAGAATCGTCAGGACTAGCGACGACCTTGGCGAAAGGGGTGGATGACATGCGCACCGTGTCCCCCCAGGTGCAAATTGTAGTATGCACAGTACCGGAAGTACCAGTACGCAACATCAACCTGCAAAGAGCGGTAGTCGACGCAAACAAAGAGATATGGCGAATTAGTCGAGAGAAGGGTTTCGAGGTAGTGGATTTAAACAGGGAAGTGCACAGGTGGGGTGGATTCCAAAGAGACAAGATTCATTTCGATAATAGGCTTGGACACGAGGTGGGCTGGCGACTGGCAGGACGCGCAGTAGCTTTTTTGGGGGGCTCACGGGCCCTTCGGAGTCCGGGGTAGCTCGTAACAGGGAAAACAACCAGGAGGACGCTTTGACAGGTAGAATTGCGAAAAACCAGAAAAAAGGTAAAAGAAAAAGGAAAAAGGCGCGTGTTGCAATTAGTTACATAAACATGCAGGGTGGCAGAAAGAAGGCAAAATGGTTAGAGATTGAGGAGCAGTTAAACAAAGAACAGATAGGCGTGTATGCGGTTACAGAAACACACCTTAGAGACTTGGAAGAGCCACCACATATTAAAAATTATGTTTGGGAAGGGTGTAACAGGACCATATCGGAAAGGAAAGGTGGGGGTGTAGGAATGCTAATTCACCGCGGAGCCAAATGGGTTAGAGTGAAACAGGTAGTGGGTGGTGGGTGGTAGTGATTAGAATGAAGAGGAAAAAGGCACCTAATTTCTGTCTGCCTTCAGGCGACACGGCGCAGTGCCTTATAGGGGTGGGGGGAAGGAGGGATAAAAAGAATAGAAGGAAAGTAGAAGCAGAAGAAGACAGCCAACGAGAGGAAAAAGAAGGAGGTAGGAAAGTGGGGATCCGGTCGAAGCAGTCCAAGGGCGGGGTGCCACAATGCGAGAGCTACACGGCGTCAGGAGACCGCGGAGGGCGAACCAGTCGGCGGGAGCTACGCTGAAGTCGGAGATCGCGAGGGCACAACCGTCCAGCTTGAAATCCTGCGAGCGAATCACCCAGAGTGAAACAGACGTGTTCAGAGCACCTCTGGGTTCTGGGCACAGTAGGTGGAAAGGAAACGTGGCTAGGGGTAGCCTACTTGTGGACGGGGAATAACTGCAGAGAAAAGAATCAGGAGATAGTGGATTGCATGAGTGCGGATATTAAGGAATTTGGTAATGGGGCCGAAATCATAGGGGACATGAATGCCCACATACATGACCTTGACGGATATTCAGACACCAATGGGAAGTTATTACTAGATCTTTGCGAGCAACATAGTCTGGAGATAGTTAACACGGGGCCTAAATGTGACGGCCAGATCACATGGGAAGTCGGAAACAAGCAATCAAGTATTGATTATTGTCTCATGACTGAAGGAATTTACCACAAACTGACAGAAATGAGGATAGACGAGGAAGGCATTAACAGCTTGGGTAGTGATCATAAACGAATAACATTACAAATGGGATACGAAACTAAAAATATGAGCATGGAATCAAAGTCTGGCAGCTCGTATTTAAATGACAAACAAATAATAAATATAGCCGCAAGAGTCGAGGAAGAAGTAGGCGAAATACCAGGCAAGGACTGGGAGTATAGGGAGCTGTTACATCTAATGACGAAGGAGATAGGGAAAGAGAAGAAAACCGTTTGCTGGAAAGGAAAAAGGAAGCCAAAAAGTTGGTGGAACAAGGAAATCCGGGAGGCGATCGAGAAGCGACGCGAAGCATCACGGGAGCATAGAAAGGCAAAAAAGGAGAAGCGGCCGCAGGACGAAGTCAAAAAATATGGGAAATCTATTTGGAGAAAAAATCCCTTGTACAGAAATTGGTAGAGGCAAAAATTAAAGGTGAAAGTGAACGCTGGATGACAGAGATACACGAAAAAAAGGAGGCCGCGCCTAGGATTTTTTGGAGCCACATAAAGGCGCTAGGTAGGAAGTCTGTCACAACGCAACAACATATTCTAGATGAAGGAGGAAATCAATTGGAAGGGTACGAAGCGCTAGGTTACATCCAAAAGGTAACAGCCGATTCGTTTCAAAAGAGCGTCCAGGGGATCTCCCCGGTGAGTAAAAGTGTGGCGGAGAAAGCAACAGAGGAAGAGCTAGTACTAGATAATTTCAACTGGAAAAAGGCCGAAGGAAAAATTCCAAAGCGCACTGCCGCGGGTTTAGATGGGATTCCCGTTAGCCTCATTAACGAACTAGGACATAACACTAAAGAAGCATTGTTAAAGCAGTAGAAAAAAGCTTAAAGGACGGACAAATACCGGACAGTTGGCGACAAAGTAGAATGAACTTAATCTATAAAGGCAAGGGAGAAAAGGACAAGATTCGCTCGTATAGACCACTAACCATTACATCGGTACTATACAGGTTGGCGATGCAAGCAGTAAAAATGAAAATAGAAACATGGGCCGAACATAACGATATTTTGGGAGAACTTCAGAACGGATTTCGAGTCGACAGGCGGTTAGACGATAACCTGTTTGTTCTCACTCAGTGTATAGAAATATCTAAAATAGAGAATAGGCCCTTGTACGTGGCTTTTCTAGACATCACTGGGGCATACGACAACGTTAATCAGGAAATTTTGTGGGATATATTGAAAGGAATGGGCATGGGCGACGACTGTATACAGCTTTTGAGGGAGATATACCGAGAAAATACAGTTTGCATAGAGTGGGAAGGAATGCGTAGCAAAGAGAACGTTGAGGTTAGCAGGGGTCTGAGACAGGGATGTCCTTTGTCCCCACTGTTATTCATGCTGTACATGGTGAGTATGGAAAAAGCGCTAGAAGGGAGCAACATTGGTTTTAATCTGTCACACAAACAGGGCGGCATGATGATTGAGCAGAAGCTTCCAGGTTTATTTTATGCGGACGATATCGTCTTATTTGCGGACAGTCGAGATGATATACAGCAGCTGGCGAATATATGCGGAAGGGAAGGTGAAGCTCTTGGACTAGGATTCAGTGTAACGAAGTGTGGTTTGATGGTATTCAATGATCCCTGTGATCAGACGGTGTCCATACAAGGCCAAGAAATACCGAGGGTAAGTGAATACAAGTACCTTGGAGTATGGGTAAATGAGAGTGATAGATACATGGAGGTACAGGAAAAAGCCTCGGCAGCAAAAGGAAAGAGGAATGCGGCAATAATGAAGCACAGAGCGTTGTGGGGATACAATAGGTATGAGGTGCTTCGAGGTCTGTGGAAGGGTGTAATGGTTCCAGGGCTTACTTTTGGGAACTCAGTGGTGTGCATGAGGGCAGAGGTGCAATCGGGAATGGATGTAAATCAAAGGACTGTGGGACGCCTCGCGTTGGGTGCTCACGGGAAGACGACAAACGAGGCTGTAAAGGGCGATATGGGGTGGGCAGGTTTTGAGGCGAGGGAAGCGCAGAGCAAAATAAGGTTCGAAGAAAGGCTAAGAAATATGAAGGAGAGCAGATGGGCAGAGAAGGTGTTCCGTTATTTGTATAGGAAGAGCGTGGACACACAGTGGAGAAAAAGAACTAGAAGACTCACTAGTAAGTATACGGCTGGTATTGTGAGCCATATGTCAACAAAGAGCGTTAAGGGAAAAGTCAGGGAGGCGGAGAGGATTTACTGGATGGCAGCTATGGAGAAAAAACCGGCTTTGAGTAACTACCGAAAGGGCAAAAATGAAATAAGGAGGGAGGCATTTTACGATAATTCAAGGGGAAGCGCTTTACTGTTTGAAGCGAGATCGGGTTGCCTTAGAACGCGTAGTTATAAAGCAAGATTCAGTAAAGAAGAAGAACAATGCACATGCTGCGGGAAAGATAAGGAAACGGCGGAGCATGTTCTGATTGAATGTGGAGATATCCACCCAGGTGTACGTTTGGGCACGAGCCTACAGGAAGCCTTGGGTTTTAGGGACAACAATGGAAAGCTGAACACACCCGCGATTGAAATAAGTAAGAGACGGTTAGAGTATTGGTGGCAGAAAATTAGAGAGAAAGGACAAAAATAAATATTGGAAAAATAAAATATGGACAGTGTGCCGTAAATGGCAGAGAACTTAAGCTGAAAATTTACCTTTTTTCCATTAAGATAGAATTTATCGAAGTAGAGGCATTAGGCCAACATAAAAAAAAAGAAAAAAGATTTTTTTTTTTCGTCGAGCCTGGTGGCATACTTGTCACCACCCCGTTATAAAGGGGACGCTCATAGCATCCATCCATCCATCCATTGTAGCCACCTCTAGTTTAGTTCTTGCAGTGTTCACTAGATGGTGGTACCGTCTTTTGTATGTAGCCACCTCTCGTTTAGTTCTTGTAGTGTTTACTAGATGGTGGTACTTGTAGCTGATGATGAAAAGATGCGAGATGTTATAAACTAGAAAGCGGTACTTGTAGTTGATGAAAGACGCGAGAACTTATAAAATAGGAATGATGTCACATATGGCGCGTGTCATTGGTTGAAGGCAATCGTTCGATTTAGTGCGGCGACGTACGCTAGGGGGAGCGATGTAATAAAATCGAGTGGGCAAAATGTACAGAGGATTCATGGTTTACCAGGTTTACCTCCGGAGCTTCGCCCACTCATCATCATTCACTTCGTGGATATGGCGGAATTTTTTTGCATTCGAACTTCGGTCCGTATGGTGACACTGCGCTCGAAAATGTAGCAATGCTAGAAGAGCGCCGTAACATGCGAGAGGAGGGTAGTGCGCGCATTTGTATGCGTGCGTGTATATGACATGCAAACGGGAAACATTTCGAGGTGATTTGCACCGCCCCAGCACTCTCCTCTCCTGGTTACGCCAGTGATATGTATGCGTAGATTGAAGTTTCTTACTGCATGGTTACACGGCAACGTCTATTTCGATTTGATTGATTGATTTGTGGGGTTTAACGTCCCAAAACCACCATATGAATATGAGAGACGCCGTAGTGGAGGGCTCCGGAAATTTTGACCACCTGGGGTTCTTTAACGTGCACCCAAATCTAAGTACACGGGCCTACAACATTTCCGCCTCCATCGGAAATGCAGCCGCCACAGCCGGGATTTGATCCCGCGACCTGCGGGTCAGCAGCCGAGTACCTTAACCACTAGACCACCGTGGCGGGGCAACGTCTATTTCGTTTCAATATCGAAGTGTGACACCAAAATGCTTGTTAAATCGAAAGCAGGCCTGGATTATGCAAAGATAAGCGAACAGGATTAAAATGAAGCCACAGGAGGTAACGAGTGAGGAGAAATTGGAGCTAGTGCCCTCAGTGAAGGCTGTCAAAATAACAAAGCGCTCTCGTGCCAACTACCACACGCGACGAGAGTCTTCTTTCTCGGTCGTAAAGGCCGTTCCACGCGCTTCCCGCACTACCGCAACGAACGTGCCGGAACCCCTACCGCACGCAATCGGGGGACAAATATCCAATCGGTGACGCTGTGGAGGGTGAAAGAGCGTCACCAATAGCCCGTTCCACGCGCTTTCTGCACAGCCGCAACGCACATGCCGGGACCCCTACCGCACGCACGCGGGGTACAAATGAGCCAATTGGCGATGCTGCGGAGGGTGAAAGAGCGTCGCCAATAGCCCGTTCCACGCGCTTTCTGCACAGCCGCAACGAACGTGCCGGAACCCCTACCGCACGCAAGCGGGGGACAAATAACCAATTGGTGACGCTGTGGAGGGTGAAAGAGCGTCGCCAATAGCCCGTTCCACGCGCTTTCTGCACTACCGCAACGAACGTGCCGGGACCCCTACCGCACGCACGCGGGGGACAAATAAGCCAATTGGCGACGCTGCGGAGGGTGAAAGAGTGTCCCCAATGGCCCGTTCCACGCGCTTTCTACACAGCCGCAACGAACGTGCCGGGACCCCTACCGCACGCAAGCGGGTGACAAATAACCAATTGGTGACGCTGTGGAGGGTGAAAGAGCGTCGCCAATAGCCCGTTCCACGCGCTTTCTGCACTACCGCAACGAACGTGCCGGGACCCCTACCGCACGCAAGCGGGTGACAAATAAGCCAATTGGCGACGCTCTTTCACCCTCCGAAGCGTCGCCAATTGGCTTATTTGTCCCCCGCTTGCGTGCGGTAGGGGGTCCCAGCACGTGCGTAGCGGCTGTGCGGGAAGCGCGTGGAATGGCCCTAAGAGAAGTCTTGCCCATCTGCGGAAAGCACGCGGCAAATACCAACCCCCGCTCTTATTATGTGCCAGATCGAGTAACTGTATGTGGCAACTTAGTGATATGCAGTAACTATACCCGAAAAGTGACACCTTCTCGCATGTGACGTCAGCCGGGGGACTCGGATGCCATCCAGAGCGTGCGCGCCCGCTACGTGACGACTTCACGACGATGCCAGCCAATCTGTCTGATAACTCGTGCTTTGCCCATTGGTCGCACGCAACGGTCATATCAGTAATTGCCGTAAAAGTCGCGGGCCCACCAACATTTACCCATCAAACGTTGCGTAATTTACGTTAAATACAACATCTGAACAAGCTTATTACGTTGCTTGCGTTTACGGTTACGATACTTATCGAGGATCCGTACGTAGCGCACGTACTCTGGGCATTACTGTATATGCTACCTGAATGTAGCATATACAGAATGACTGGGGCAGTGACGCCATCTATCTGGAAAGTGGATCATGATGGAAAGAATCCTTTGTCCTTCACAGCCTGATAGAAAATCACTAATAATAATAATGCACTTTTAAGCAAGAATGATGACTTATAAAGTAGTATATCTATAGGACACCCGTAAAACAACTAACGGAGCGTAACAATTGACAAGAATTAATTTAAGTCAGTTCACCTGCTTTCTGCATCGGCCGAGTCATAATTTCAGTATCGGTCCAACTTTGACTTCGAAAGTATATGTTTCAGACAAACTTTTTTATGCTACCTTGTTCTTTTCCTTTCCAGGTGTAACGGCCCGCCGACGCTGGCTGGCAGATACGTCGGTGATTTGAAGCCGTTCGAAATGAGTTGTCCGCTGAGCCAGCGACTTCTTCTTCGTTTCGAAGAGTCTGTCAGCAACAAACTCATGCTCACGGTTGTCGGTGCGTGCGCGCTCACGGTTACGTTGGTCGCCGTTTTGTGCTTTTGGCGAGGACGAAAGCGACGACGTCTGCAAAGGGACGCCCCTTACAGCGCCGTCCACTACAGTCACGTGACTTCAAAAGGCAACGCTTCGTAAACGTGCGCATTAAGGGTGAAGAGGATGTCGAAGTTTTGTGCATGAACCCCCCCCCCCCCCCTCCCCCCGCTTGTCAGTCAGTTGTGCTTGACGAGACGTTCCGACCTTGCATTCGCGTGCACGCCAGAAACTGCAGGACCATCCAAGTGTGACAGCGCGTCACATGAATGAGCACCGGGCTGTGCTGTGCTGTACAGAAAACTTTCATAAAACTTTCAAAAAGTTGTACTCCTGGGTGAAACTTTTCAAGACATAAAGACGCCTTCCAGGACAAGCGCTTGTCTATGCAAACGTTTGTGCAACGCGTGTTATTTTTTTCGTCGTTGCTCTTTTTGCTCTTTTTCTTTCTTGTGACAAAGAAGACCGTGAGCTTCGCTTGGCTTTATGGTCGCTGTTATTAGGGTACGTCTTTCGAAGTCAGCGTGCCTCAACGAAGGAGCTGGACGGACGGTGACTCCGCCGACCCAGCACAAGTACGGGACTATTTCTTTAGTCGTGGAGGCAATCGGAGGTCGCACTTTGCTGTCTGGACAAGGCTTCTCCTGAGTTCTTAAGTTGAGTCCCCCTATAAACATTTAACGCAGTGTAATATAATATCCAGCAGTTACATTGCATTTGAGCTAATTACAAAATATGTGCTACTCGGCTAGTGTAAGGTCAAACTAAAGCTCATAAAGCACAAAAGCCTTCCTGAGCTGGTGTTTTTCATGGAAGATATTCGTTGAGATATGCGGTCAGAAACCCACCACCGTAGGTTATTTCGACCAGAGTACCTTCACCAGGGGCGTAACCAAAGATTAGCTTGGGGGGGGGGGGGGTTAACAATATTTATGTATGTTTGTGCGTGCGCTTTCATGTGCGCGTGTTTATATATGTGCTAGCAAAATTGAAAATTTAAAAACTTCGGGAGTGTACGTTTGAATCCCCCCCCCCCCCCCCCCCGCCTTCATCCTTGGTCATCGGAAGACAAACCCGAAGTAGTTGTAGCCTCAATGTTACCTTGGTGAGGGTTTTATGAAACGTGGTAAATTTCGAGCAGCTAGGGCTCCAGAAAACAACAAATTTAGTCGTGCTTCCGCTCATCCAAGTTAAAGTGCTTTTAGTTCTGATACAAGAGAATTGTAAGGTTATAATGCATCGAAAGCTCTTTGTTGCCCACTAGTTTACGCATGCTGAACCCACGTAAGAGACCTAGAATAAGTAATATTTTCCTCAGCTCTTGTATTCGTGCATTTAAAAGTTGCTATAGTTGACACCTTGCCTTCTAAAATTCTCGCAACTGCAGCAACTAAAATGAAATTGAAATTGATACACTATAACATAGCTGAGAGCCGCCGCAGTGAGGTGCTCAGCTGCTGACGCAAAAGTTGCCGCTTCGATCCCGTTTATGGTGGTCGAATTTTGATGGAAGCAAAATGTTAAATGCCCGTGTACTCAAATATCGGTGCGAGTTAATGAAACGCATGCGGTAGAATTTTTCGGAACCTTCCTTTGCAACGCTCCTTGAAATCATGGGATTTTGGCTCGTAGCACCGCAGAAAGTGCCTTTAAAACAAAACTGTATTCCTCCAAGGGTGTCGGCGAATGAGATAATCTTACTCTTTAAACGTAAAAAATTCCGCCAAATTGCTTTAGTGGATGCAGAAAAAAAACTACGGTTCTGAATAAAATATCAAGGCAAAGTTATCGGTTATGACAAATGCGATTGCGCCGGCAAACACTTTATAACTTCCATAGAAAGATAGCAACAAAAAAAACTGCTACGTTTTTCCTCTATGAAGTAACTCCAGGGAATCAAAGGAGCATTATATGGGGGCTGACAGACGCATTTGATTCATAGTGCTCAATCATATTTTAGATAATCCTCACTGTCGCTTACCGAAGCCTCTTTTCAGATAAGTAGGTGTCGCTGCTTAAATTTATTTTTGCTTCAGATTTCGTGCATGCTCATCACATGAATAAGCACGCCACGCAATTGTCTAGACACTAACAGAAAAAACTCTCAATAAACTATTTACCCCTCTCTGAGGGGTAAAGAGTTTGACAAAGAGTTTGACCTGAGTGTGACAAGCGCTGGAATGTATTCGCATGACGTCACTGAAGCAAGACACCTGTTTACTCGGCCTATGTTTTTCCAGCGGATACGCATATCTCGGCTGCTGATGCACCTTGAAAAAAAATATATTTATCGAAAGATTCCTTAGCTGTCTATTGTCTCATCGTTGCCAGGTGTCAAACACGTTCCCGTATTTCGCCTTTATTGTGGCACCAATATAACGAAGAATTCTTTGTAACAAATCTCGCATTCCAGCCGCAATATCAAACAGCGACTGGAATGCCAATGAAAACCACGGTGCGTTGTCTTCGGTGCACGTACAATGCGTCACACGCTTATCTCGTCACCTCTGGCGTAGCCACGCTTATCTCTGTCCTCGGCTTGTCCCCGGCAGACGCGTACTTATGGGCCGTGCCGCCAGATAATCTGCGCTCCTTCTCTACGGCAAGGCAACCGATATGCGCGGTGGCAGCTTTCGAGCCAGGCTGTTGCCTCAGCGCGACAAAAACTTGAACTCTGGAGCCTGGGCGGGTGGTGATAACCGCGGGCAAAACACGTTCCGTGGTGAGCAGGATCAGGAACGCGTAAGTGGACGCCTTCTACGCCTATATGTGAGGTATTGTGCTTGTCGAGCTTTGTCGGCCGCCTTCGGTTATGAAGACGAGTGAACGTGTAAGCCGCTAAAGCACAACTGTCGATACGTTTTAGCGAAGGTAACGATTATTCTTTCTTTTCAGTCTAGTGTGTTTATTTGTATGCTTGGAGGTGCTCCCAGGATGCCGATATGTTCGTTCCATTCGCTGTTTATCTAACGTAGGACGCCAGCACGAAAGTTCCCCAGGTGGTCGAAATTTTCGGAGCCCTCCACTACGCCGTCTCTCATAATCATATCTGGTGGTTTTGGGACGTTAAACCCCACATACCAATCAACAGCTCCAAGGTTGACTTTTCCACGGATGTGCAGATGTTGCCTTATTTTCAAAGCTGCACAAGTTATAAGAACAACTCTCCTAGCTCAGCTTGTCTATTCTTGGCTGAAACTATTGATACATGATAAATAAAATGATGATTGATCGTGTTGCAACTATATACGGAGGCCGCTGCATATCAAGATTCTTTTTGCATATGATACTGTGTTTTCGAGGCTGTGCTTTTCACTGGCTGGTTACGTTAATTAATTACGTTTAAAAAATTCGGCAGATCCCACGTACCTTGGGAATCGACGTTTGCGAAATCATGCAGAGGAAAAATGATCATGTTGTAAATTTTTTTTGAGCGACACGTCATGAAATGACGCTACATAAATGTACAAATGTTGCACGCACAAACATATGTGACAGTCGTAGATGGTTATGTAACGAGTTGTTTTCACTTGCGCAATGATGCCAACAGCAACATGAGTATTAGCAACACCAGAAGCGATCAGCTGATATGAAGCGCTGGTGCTTCATATCACCTAACTACAATTAATGTTTAGCCGATGTGACGGCTGTATAGATGTGTACATATCTAATGTTTATAAAATTGGATAGCCCGCACTGCAAGCATAATTGACGTTTCACGAACATTGGGGTCTCTTTGAAAAGTAGTTCCGAGACCTGGCGTGGCTCTGTGGTAGAATACTTGATTGCCACGCAGAATGCTGGCGTTAGATTCCTGCCGGCACCCTGACATTCATTATTTGAATTCGTCGGGTCAACGCTGTTGATGTCAGTTTTTTTCTTAATGCTGACGCGTTAAAATTACCCATGTGTGTTCTCGCTGTCCCCGGTATAAAAGTGTCAAACACCTGTGGTTCACACTTATGAACTGTAGTGACACTTAGCCGCATACCAGTGCTACTATCTGGCGGTAAGTGTTCGATAACGTACGCGACGGGATGGTGACGTTATTGATGTCTTGACCAGCGCGTCATATTCGTCAAATCATCTTACGCTCCTGTACTAATTTTGGTTCGGGCCAAGTTAAGGGGGTGATTACGAGAGCACCCAGACGTATACAAGCGGCTAGATAGATGGATAGATACGCTGATAGACGCCAAAAGTGCTTGCAGTAAACAAAGAAATTGATTGATATGTAGGGTTTACTTTCCCAAAACCACCATATGATCATGAGAGACGCCGTAGTGGAGGGCTCCGGAAATTTCGACCACCTGGGTTCTTCAAAATACGCAAAGAAATGATTCGCATTTAAAAGGAGCAACTGTTTGGATAGTAGGTAAAAATATTTAAATGCACTTCTGTCTCTGGGCTAATTGGTCTTTCACAGTGGACGAAAAAATAAAAAGGTGCAGAATGTAAACACTATGCGCGGTGAATGCATAAAGGACTGCCTGACTCATTCGACAGACCTTGCACAGAAAGCAAGAATGTGGTATACATGTGTTTAGATTAGCATAGATTGCTAGCACTGAAATTGTTGTCATGATGTTAATTATATCATGAGTAATCTGAACAACTCGATTTCAGGCATCGTTTTACCGTCCAATAATCAGCTGATTACCGCGATGTTAACGAATATGGAATTTTCAAATGTATCAACAAATGTACGCAATTTTCTTTATTTTTAGGTGAGCCATGGGCAAAAGGATGTCCCCGGAATCGTGGTTCCTGTTGCTGCTAATAGCCTCAGCTACCTCCGAAGATGCCAAGGACGCGTGTCAAGTGGCTGGCTGTGCATGCACCGTGTTTGATGACGTCGGTGAAATGTTCCTTCAGTGTGCGAACCGCTCGCTCCTCAGTCTACCCGAACTTGCTAGTGGCGTGGTCGGTGTGGACGCCAGCCATAACATGATCAGTGAGGTGACAAAGTTCCCAAAGCTGTCCCTGGAAGTGTTGGACTTGCACTTCAATCGCATCAGCGAGATACCAGCCGGTGTGTTCGCCGAACTAAGCATGCTCGAAATGTTGGACCTGAGCCACAACAACATCGCTGACGTGACTCCGGAGTGCTTCGAGGGACTCGCGAGTCTCACGGTGTTGAATCTGACCGAGAACTTTCTGGAGGTTCTCCATCCCAAAGTGTTTAGTGCGACGCCACTTCTCAAGAAGCTTCTGCTTGCCGGAAACAACCTGAAGGCCATCGACTCGTCATGGCTGGCCAGTCTTCCCAAGCTGGACCACCTGGACTTGCGTATGCTTGGCCTTCGCTCGCTACCGAAAGACGTGTTTCGGGACCTGCCGCTGCTGCATCTCATAGAGCTTTCGCAGAACGAGTTCGAAGAAGTGCCAGCAAAGGCTCTGGCTAGCGCCAAGTCCCTGAAGATCTTACACATGGAGCAAAATCCCATCGTTACGCTCACCGCGGAGTCATTCGCCGATATCGTCGCTATCGAAGAGCTACATCTTTCGGCCATGCCCATATTGGAGACTGTGGAGGAGGGAGCCTTCGTTGGCCTGCAGCACCTGAAAATACTGGACCTCGCCAACAATCCGAAGTTGAGTTACATTGCTGTTGGAGCTCTTAGTATTGAGCCCGGCAACAATACGCTGAAGGAACTGTACTTGTCCTATGCCAACCTGACGTCACTTTCTTTCGACGGCTACGAATGGTGCAGCGTTGACGTCCTGGATCTGCGCGGTAACCCCTGGCACTGTGACTGCTCCTTGTATTGGGTCCAAGGCTGCCACTTCGCACCGGAACTTACGACCAAGTTTTTGTAAGCGAGAAATCTTTTCAACACTGTTCATTTTGGAACGCTATTTTTAATTATTTGACACTCTCGCGACCGTTGCGTCATTTTAAATTACAAATTATACGTTTAAAAGGAAGCCTTAAAAAATGAGCTGTCACGTAGATATATATACGTGAAAAGAAAATCACTTTGCTCGGGATTGAGTTAACCATATATGACGGGTTATGTTGTACCCAAAATGTGAGGATAAACACTCGAGTGGGCGAAAAAGATTTTGTTATATTTTTTATATGTCTCAATACAACGAAAAGATGAAAGTAGGGTCACTTGACGACATCCGCCAGGAGCGCTGGCGGCGGGGTCGCCATTTTGAAGGTCCGCGGGCTCGCCGCACGCGCAATAAACTTGTTACACGTGCAGTGTCCGAGAACCGTACGGCGACTTGGATCACTAGAGACCTCTGGCACACATCTTGCGTGTGGACCTTCAAAATGGCGCGGCGATGGTGTTGATCTCTTGCGGATCAAGGCTCAGTGCAATATCACTACTTTATAACTTTACATGTGAAATCAGACATGGATATTATTAAGCGGAACTATAAAGGGTGTTAAAATAGCATAAACACTGATGTGATATATTACTTGCACTGAGGAGTACTGACACGTGCACGAGTAGATGGCACACCTGTCGTTAATACGTCGTGAACTGCTGTCTTCTCCTGACATCACACTGGCATTGCACGTCACGGAGAAGCCACTCCTCGATATCGAAGCCGAAAGTGTCTTTTTAAAGTAATGATATTAAAAATATATGCGCTGCATTCCTAGACACAGCAGTGCTCTTTTTAGTGTTCTTAAAACCCATGTCCTCATGTAGAGCAACAATGCCAAAATGTTTAAAACTCGTGCCAGTACTCCTTTAGAAGTAAGTCATGTAATATTTTAATTTAGGTTACAAACTGAACTCTTCACGCACTGAATCATCATCATCATCATCATCATCATCAGCCTGACTACGTCCACTGCAGGACAAAGGCCTCTCCCATGTTCCGCCAGTTAACCCGGTCCTGTGCTTGCCGCTGCCAATTTATACCCGCAGACTTCTTAATCTCATCTGCCCGCCTAACCTTCTGTCTCCCCTAACCCGCTTCCCTTCTCTGGGAATCCAGTTAGTTACCCTTAATGACCAGTGGTTATCCTGTCTACGCGCTACATTCACGGCCCATGTCCATTTCCTCTTCTTTATTTCAACTACGATATCCTTAACCCCCGTTTGTTCCCTAACCCACTCTGCTCTCTTCTTGTCTCTTAAGGTTACACCTACCATTTTTCTTTCCATTGCTCGCTGCGTCGTCCTCAATTTAAGCTGAACCCTCTTTGTAAGTCTCCAGGTTTCTGCTCCGTAGCTAAGTACCGGCAAGATACAGCTGTTATATACCTTCCTCTTGAGGGATCGTGGCAATCTACCTGTCATAATTTGAGAGTGCTTGCCGAATGTGCTCCACCCCATTCTTATTCTTCTAGTTACTTCAATCTCGTGGTTAGGCTCTGCGGTTATTACCTGCCCTAAACAGACATAGTCTTTTACAACTTCAAGTGCACTATTACCTATCTCGAAGTGCTGCTCCTTTCCGAGGTTGTTGTACATTACTTTCGTTTTCTGCAGATTAATTTTAAGACCCACCTTTCTGCTCTCCTTGTCTAACTCCGTAATCATGAGTTGCTATTCGTCCCCTGAGTTACTCAGCAATGCAATGTCATCGGCGAAGCGCAAGTTACTAAGGTATTCTCCATTAACTCTTATCCCTAACTGTTCCCATTCTAGGCTTCTGAAAACCTCCTGTACGCACGCGGTAAATAGCATTGGGGAGATTGTGTCCCCCTGCCTTACACCCTTCTTGATTGGTATTCTGTTGCTTTCTTTATGAAGCACTATGGTAGCAGTTGATCCCCTGTAGATTTCTTCCAGAATGTTTATATATACTTCATCTACGCCCTGATTCCGCAGTTTCTGCTTGACGGCTGATATTTCTACTGAATCAAACGCCTTCTCGTAATCTATGAAGGCTATGTATAGTGGTTGGTTATACTCTGAGCCTTTCTCTATTACCTGATTGATAGGATGAATGTGGTCAATTGTTGAGTAGCCTGTTCTAAATCCTGCTTGTTCCTTTGGTTGATTGAATTCTAATGTTTTCTTTACTCTGTTAGCAATTACCTTTGTAAATAGCTTGTATACTGCAGAGAGCAAGCTGATCGGCCTGTAATTCTTCAAGTCCTTGTCATCTCCTTTCTTATGTATTAAGATGATGTTAGCGTTCTTCCAAGACTCTGGTACCCTTCCCGTCAGGAGACACCTCGTAAACAGGGTGGCTAGTTTTTCTAACACAATCTGCCCTCCATCTTTCAGCAGGTCTGATGTTACCTGATCCTCACCAGCAGCTTTGCCTCTTTGCATGCTCTCCAAAGCTTTTCTGACTTCTTCTATCATTACTGGTGGGGTGTCATCTGGGTTACGGCTAGTTCTTATAGTATTAAGGTCGTGGTTGTCTCGGCTACTGTACAGATCTCTGTAAAACTCCTCCGCTATTTTAACTATCCTATCCATATTGGTAGTTATTTTGCCTTCTTTGTCCCTTAGTGCATACATCCGACTTTTGCCTATCCCAAGTTTCCTCTTCACTGCTTTGACGCTTCCTCCGTTTTTCAGAGCGTGTTCAATTCTCTCCATGTTATACCTTCTTACATCGCATATCTTACGCCTATTAATCAACTTCGAAAGCTCTGCCAGTTCTATTTTGTCTTTTGTACTTGAGACTTTCATGATTTGACGCTTCTTAATTAGGTTCTTCGTTTCCTGGGAAAGCTTGCCAGTGTCCTGTCTAACTACCCTGCCTCCAACTTCCACTGTACACTCCGTAATGATACTCGTCAGATTATCATTCATTGTATCTACGCTAAGGTTGGTTTCCTCACTAAGAGCCGAGTACCTGTTCTGCAGCGACACTCTGAATTCCTGTACTTTCCCTCTCAGTGCTAGCTCATTGATTGGCTTCTTGCGTATCAGTAATAATCAGCACTCAATAATATGCTTACAATATCAAACACAACTTACGGACTTAGCGCGGCGTTTTATTCTCCGTGCTGTCATTTCCGTGCTTCATAGCAGACGCTCTCTGCGAGTGTGGATGTAATAACGACCTTGTCCCGCCTTCTTTCAGGCATGCTCAATGACAATAATCGTTTCGTCAACCAAAATGATCTAATAACATTCGACAGAAAAGCGTGTTCTTGCTGCAAGCACACAAGAATGCGGATGTGGTTTTGTACATCAACACTTCTGAACAACACTGGCAAATATCACTAAGCGATTGCTCTTTCGCTGTCGTGATTAAAAAAGATAGCATACGTTAGACGACCATCTGGCAGCATGAAGAATGTGAGCACCGCCATGGCGCGCATTTCCACTATGTGACAGCTTCTTGCTATTCAAAAGCAGAATAGTTACATCCGGGTAATTCTTGAATGAGTGCAAGTTATACTTGTGAGCAGGCCAACACGCCATTCCATGTTGCTACGAGGCGTGGACCCTTTCCCTATAGCGGGATTAGGGCACACGCACCAAGGATGAAGTCATCTTCGAACGCCGTTATATCTCTGAGGCTCTTCTTCTGACGATACTTGTTGTTCCCACAAAGCTCCGCTTCCACATCTAAAATGACTTAAGGCAGCACATCAAAATGAGAAAGGCGGATCGTACAGAGACGTCTAACACGATTGGGGATATAGGCCTGTGTAGGGTATAGTCTGCAACTCGGGGCGCTGCTATTCTTCGCCACTGATGGATCACATTTGTAAATGACGCGCAGGTGCAGCTCCCCGGCCGCTCTCTCGGGCATGCCGGTGATGCAGCTTACCGACGATGACGTGCAGTGCGTGCAGCACAGCGCGGCAGCTTCGGGTGACGGCGAAGAGGAGCACCACCACGGTCACATGACGCTGCGGCTGCTGGTGGTCACTGCGGGACTCGTGACGCTGCTCATGGTGCTGGCCGTGGCGCTGGTCGCCTTCAGGCACAGAGACATTCGCGACTGGTTCCAGGACAGGAAGCGCATCGGCGCCGTCTACTACGTCAAGGCCAACTCGGGCCCCTCGTCCCGTTGCTCTCAAGTGTGATACTCACGGTGTATACGCGGAGATCGGATGAACCCCGGCCCTGTCCCTGTTGGAGCTACCTTCCCACCAGACCCTTTTTCTGCGCCATAAATTTACTGGCGCATTTGTACATACACATTTAGTGAAATATAACGGACTTGCTTTTCGTCTTCGAAACACAACCAATTGCCCCGCCGCGGTGGTCTAGTGGCTAAGGTACTCGGCTGCTGACCCGCAGGTCGCGGGATCAAATCCCGGCTGCGGTGGCTGCATTTCCGGTGGAGGCGGAAATGTTGTAGGCCCGTGTGCTCAGATTTGGGTGCACGTTAAAGAACCCCAGGTGGTCGAAATTTCCGGAGCCCTCCACTACGGCGTCTCTCATAATCATATCGTGGTTTTGGGACGTTAAATCCCCCAAATCAATCAATCGATCAATCGAAACACAACCAATTCCCCGAACACGTGCACCTTCCACCAGTTGTGCGTCTCCTTTCGCGACCAAGTTCACGTAAAGTGCAGTAGGACGCGAACTCATTTTTCTTCCAATCAAAGCAAATTTTATCATATCAATTAATTAAAATTAGACGAAAATAAGTTTTATTCAAAAACGAAAAATATGAATTTTTATTCAGTTCTTTCAAAGCACGACAAAACATGCAAAAAGTATATGTATACATTTCTAAATGCTTACCAGTTGCAGTCGGACGGCAGCAACTCTCTGCCTTCCCTGCAGCGACGATTGCCGCCTCCAAGGCTGTGGCATACAGGTTGACGTGAGTCCAGAGGAATAACCAGCACGCCTTTCCAGATGAGTACTCCCATACAACCACCTATGAGGTCTGTGTATCCATCCACCTCTCATACAAAACCGGAATGTAATTTGCCGGCACTGGGAATCGAAGCCGGTACCTCCGGCATTGTAAGCAAACGCTCAAACACATCAGCGCTACCGCAATTGCACCTTTTTACACTTGTTTTAGAGCATTTTTTATCGCAATACCACGTTTATAACTTTCTAATAACTAAAGTTTATTGGTTGTTCAAAAAGCTTTGCCGATTTTTACAACAACAACAACAACAAAAAATAATAACAACAACAACAACAACAACAACAACAATAATAATAATAATAATAATAATAATAATAATAATAATAATAATAATAATAATAATAATAATAATAATAATAATAATAATGTAATTATCTGGGGTTCAACATCCCAAAACCATTATGAGATACGTCGTAGTGGAGGGCCCTCCCAATTATCTCGGGAGGGCTTGCGAAAGATTGGACTAAAAGAGATGGGTGACTGCATGGTGAGAAAACATACACATTTTATCAAGAAAATAATTGAAAAAGAAAACACGAAGTCTTGACGTAGTACGCACAAGCGCACAAAACTCGGCTATAGACCAAAACCAAAACTAAAATTAACCCACATTAGAGCCAACTCTAGCACTAACCAGTTTTTTTACTACTGCGGCTTCTATTTTTATTTGAAAGTGTAGTTGTATTGCCATGAAATTTATTTTAATGCTGTAGTGCTAAATGTGCCCTACAACACTTTTCAGAGAAGCCATGAAATGAATTCTCTAAAGGAGCTTATTGCTTGAGGAATTCGCCATCGTTAAAAAATTTTAAAGGCCATTCATTACGAGCGGAGTTGCGAAGATTACACTTTATCTTTTCTCGGGGAAAGCAAATACGTCAGGCGCACCTCGTGACCTTCAGCACATCTTTATTTTTTTATTTTTTCGATGCGCGTCTCTTCAGTGAAATCGCGCGCGCACGCGCGGACAAATCGCAGCCTCCCTAAAGGGTCACAGTAACAACCGAGCGCGCCACGCTCAAATCAGCCAATGACTGGTGCTTGGCCGGTGACGCAGTGATTTTTGAGTCTGTAGCGTCATTTGCCGAAAGAAGAGAAAACAATTTTAGGTGACTATGAGAATTCATTGTAAATGCCAGACTGCGTGCTGCGTTATAATATTCAGCTCGCGTGCTCACGAAAGCCACGACTGCTGATCGACAGAATTTTCTGAACATGTTGAAAAAGTGGTGCAGGACCCTTTTGAAGAGCGAAAGCAGAAATTGTGGCGTCGTCAGTTGGGGAAAATCGTCAAACTAGTCTGTGACCGAAAAATTAAAAAAAAATGCTAATAAAGCAAACAATAAAAATATTCGGTTCTAGTGAGAATTCAACCCAGGTCGTCTGCGTGGTGTGCAGGAGTTGTACCACAGAGCTACGCTATTGTCTGAAACTGGTTCGAGGAAAATACTGCTAGGCCCACGCGGAACGCGCAGCACAGAGAGCGAAAGCTGGAAGGGAGGCTACAGCCTCTTTTTAAACACTCTTGGGGCAACTATACTACAAGAACACTTGCACGGTACCCATTACGCGATAAATCATTAAAATTTTTGTGTGGGGGGAAGCATCCGCTATGTCATTCTTCATCATTCTTCGCAAGATCATGGTACCCACTACACAATTCTAAAGAATCATGGGCACTTTGTGACGACAATGAACAATTATGCCTGAGGCTTTTGTAATGCGTTGGAGCATTCAACGACCCACTCGTAGTGCCATCCGCACTGTGTGACACCTGGTTACCTTATTCTAAAACGCTTTATTACACATGTTAACGCGATTCCTTACCAATCATGAAGCTTATATATAGGCTCAGTTTGAAAAGAAGTCTCAAGCACCTGCGCAGCTCAGTGGCAGAGTACTGGGCTGCCACGAAGTAGGTCTGGTTTCGATTGTCATCGTTGCTTTGGAGTTTGTACTTTATTTTTTATAATATGGCGCTATATTGGTCACGGACACCGGCGGCGGCGGACAAATAGAATCGGCCTTTGTTGTGATCCCATAACAGCTTTCGCTGTAAAATACTATGTCATGTACAGTGGAAGGAGTCGCAAAGAGGCCATGACACCCTATTTTCGACCATAATATGTTGTGTGGGTTGATACTTGTACGTCCACAGACAAGCTGGCGACATTCGGCTCATTCAGTCCTGCCGCTAATTTATAATCGAATATTTTTATAAACAAGCGAGCGGCCTGAGAGTCGGACAACACTGGCGCACTTGCTATAGCCATGACACAATGAGCCACTAGGTGTATATAGGTGTTCTGTGGGTGAGCCATGAAGCTGCTGCACGGCTTGCATTCCGGAGGACGACCGTGTTAGTGGTAAGCTGCGCTTGCAATCAAGCTTTTCCTGCTTTGTTCAACTTGCCACTGGAACTAAATGACTTGCAGCTGTTGAAATGGCCTCGCATCGCCCTTGTAGCGCTGGTACTTGCAGCAAACAATTTGTGTTATTCTCTCTGAAGTGAGAATGTGTCCCGTGAATGTGCAACCTATATGCCACTCGACACTATACGATTAAATATTTATGGAAGGCAGTGCCATGCTTAAGCGTCACACTTGCTGTCTTTTATCGAAAACAAATGCAATCGACAGAGTTCAAGCAAAGATTCGGCCCAAATATATATTAGAGTAACCCTAGCGCTCGGGTAATGTTTAAACAAATGTAAACAACGTGCCAACAAATCAACAATTAGAAAAACAACGGTGCCAAAGCGCAGCATTGTTACTACCGCATATTTATTATGTTCAGCACTGCGAAAGTCATGCGTGCACATATATGCTAGCCCACAAAAATAAACATACTGTACCAATTCCATTGCGCAGAGTAAGGCTTGCTCGCGAATGCAGCGTTGTTGTGCCTCGCCCAAGTTCCACGTGGTCTTCGCGGCCTGCTGGCACCTGGCAGCTGTTGATGAGTCAACCCTGCACCTGGACGGCGACGGACGCGGACAATCTGGAAAAACCACGTCGCCGGCTCCTCTTGACACAAAAGTCGTTGGCCAAGCTTTTGTCAGCCGCCGAGAGCAACACTCCGAAGCAGCGTCGACCCAGCAGCTGTACGGGGTATTCTGCCTTGCTTGAGTCAACCTGGCTGCATCAGGGAGCGACTTTGCGCATGGGATTCCACGTCATCTCACTGTGGTGCCACGCTGGCGCGTGGGGTCTCCCTCACCAAACAGCGAACTGGGCATGTCTTGCCCCTTTCCTAGGTTCAGAGGGAGGCGGTGTTTGGCTTTCCCTCTTCGGGGACGGAGAGGAAGACGACGATCTCATTGGAGTATCCTGCGCATAAATTTTCTTTGCAAGGGATCTTGGGAAGGCGGACGATGTATAAAAACGCTAGCGCAGAGGCGCTCGTGTGTGATTCTCTTTTCATGTTGTACCACGCTACCATGTAAATACTGTATATAAACATTTTTTTCTCCTTCTCCGGCTTCTCTACTCGTCCTCTCCGGGGACTCGGATGGCCCGAGTCCGCACCACGCTACCCAAAGGCGCAACAGCGTCGACAGACCCCCGTATCCCAAACTCGCTTGTCGACCTGGTACGCTTAAAATTAAGCTATATACTTATCAATGCTTAAGGCCATCTGCAACGTCTGCCACAACGCCGAGGTCGTTGGCATTTGGGTTCACTCCGTTTTCGACGCTCTTTTCGTCGCTTGACGATGGGGTTAAAGTCAAATGTGCAGCATACACGACATCGCCGCCCCACTGCGGTAATCTAGTGGCTAAGTTACTCGGCTGCTGACTCGCCGGTCGCGGGATCGAATCCCGGCTGCGGCGGCTGCATTTCCGATGAAGGCGGAAATGCTGTAGGCCCGTGTGTTCAGATTTAAGTACACGTTAAAGAACCCCAGGCTAGTGAAATTTCCGGAACCCTCCACTACGGCGTTTCTAATAATCATACGATGGTTTTGGGACGTTAAACCACACATATCAATCATCAACGACGTCACCGCCGCTTCTGCTGCTCGATGAACCATTGCTCGAATCGTGAGGTGCTGTGGCCGACGACATGGCGATGGTACTGATAACACGCCGCAACACTTGCAACACACTGACGTGCGGACCACGCGGCAAGCAACACTCGCTACAGATTGAACACAGGTGCTGTTTGGTAGCAGACGATGGTCCTTACGGTTTGTGACGTCACGCACGCCATGGCGAAATGGCGGTCTCCGGCGGTGGGTGGAGATTCACAGACGACGACTTCTGTGGCTTAATTTGGTTCTGAAATAATCTTTCACAGTGCAGTTTTCACACGCGTGCAAGCATCCTTTTACAAGCCATCTTTTCATTTATGATGAACGTGCGCGGGTTTCCCCAATTCAAAGGTGTGCGCGCGTGTTCCGCTCCCCTAGTACGGCCGTGGAGGTGACTACCTACTACTACTACTACTACTACTACTACTACTACTACTACTACTACTACTACATACATACATACATCGCAAACGCAGGACCAACGGCTTAAGGAGCTTCGCCCCTAAAAACGTTAGGCCTGTTCACAGAAGCACCGTTCCCGCGCTAGCCTCTGCGCGTTGCCCAACACGTCTGAACCAATATGGCAGCCAGGTGGTGTGGAGCCTTTCAAAAGGTGTCTCTACCTGACGATAGTTATAGCGCGAAAACAAAACGACGACGCTGAGACAAGAAGGACACGAAAGACACGAGCGCTCGTGTCTTTCGTGTCCTCCTTGTCTCTGTGTCGTCGTTTTGTTCCAGCGCTATAACTATCGTCATGCCATACCAACTAGCCCAAGCTGCCACACTTCTATCTCTACCCTGGCAGCAGAGCTATGCCACCATAGCGGAGGTGGTGGAGGTGCGCGCGCATCGAGGCATACTCTAATAGGTTTTCTCTCCTATGACCACCTTTGACCACACATTACACGCGATGGCTTGGTTACTTGGCGATCGACGAGTGTAGAAAAGGGCAGGAGGAGAGGGTGGTGAAATGTTGGATCGAGCGCGTCTGGCTGGCAATGAAAAAAACAGAAGGTGCGCTTATATAGGTACAAGCAAGTCCACAACGCGGACTCTTAAAGAAGGCTCTGTTCAAGCTTCCACTGTGACTGTGCTGCGTGTTTTGCGCAGGCCTGACAATTTTCGAAAACTGCCAATGTTACACACCCACAGTCGCTCATTTCCTTACGGTACGGTTGTGGTCTCACCGATAACCGATGCTAGGCTAACAATTGAAAAGCCGATGATCACCGAGCCCGACTACGCTGACTACGCTATCACTTGTGATATCTACTTCTGATCGCGAAGCTCAAGAGTTCTCCAACGTTCTAACGCGATAGCGTTAAAGAGCTCGTTTCGCAGAAATTCCGACGTCAATGTCGTGGACGTCGTTGGTTGTGACGAAAAGATAATCTTGTTCGTGACCGTGAAAGATGCAAATAAAATAAATATTAAAAATATAAGGGTCCGAGCGAGGACCGAGATGTTGGTGTTCCATCACAAAGCCACGGGTCTGCGTGGAAATACACTGAAAACAACTTTCATGTCTTACAAACCAACGCGTCCTTTATACAGGTTTCATAACAAAACATGTAATATCGCAGTAATATTGCGTGTTGCAAGCGTGCACTGCCATCGGACGTCAGAACTTGAGATTATCATAACGACTTGGTAGTTTAACACCGGCCACTCATTACAAAAGGCACACACGCGTTACTGTATATATGTATACGTATTCCCTTAATCAATACGCCGCAGTGGTTGCATAGCAAGTTCGAAAACATTTCACGCGCATAAGTGCTCGTGGTTTAAAGCATGCTGCCTACTTCATTGAATACAGCCATAATCCGCGATTTCAAATTCTTGAATAACATCATGCGATAAAAAAACTCCCAAGCATTTCCCCGAGGGTGAACATGGTTAAGTGCGAATACTCGGGGTGATGCTATGAGGGGTATTTATTAATTCGCATTATTATATTTACTAATCACACTATGGTGCCTTTATGGTGTAATGGTTCCTGGGAATCGCAATTTGATCACACGGGGGAGTTTACGTTAACTCACTGGCGAATGCCAACGGATTATAACTTTACTCCCCCTCACGACCCGCTCTCGACGGGAGACTGAGAGAGAAGGCGGGCGCGCGAGAGAGAGGGGTGCGCGCGCAGCTGCAGCGAGCGAGGAGAGCGGAGGAGCGAGCGAAGGGGGAGGGGGTATAAGGCGCGTTACTGACACCGATATCAGCGTCGCGTCCGTGGCTTATTCGGTAGAGCGTCGCGCTGCGGCCCGCCAAGTCCTCTTTTTTTTTAAAGATAGAGAGAAGACTGCGGACGCCGCCGACGGCGGTGGATGGTTTGGGGTCGCTTATAAAGTGTATTCACACTTAAAAGTATGCACAAAGTGGTTGAAAGCAGCAGGATATCGCTATCGCGTCCTACTCTTGATCGCGAGGCTCAATTCGTCTTCTGCTTTTCAGACCCAGAAGGTAAACTTTTGAAAATGTGTTTTTTTTTAAATATTAGTCGCATTTCAATATTAATTTTGACTGCATTTATGACCGAACAGGTAAGCGCACAGTTGGCGATACAAATAAACAAAGCAAGGGGGAGGGAAGGCTTCGCATGAATGGGAAAGTTTCGCGTGTTCACTACAGTATGGATACTGTAGTGAACAATGATTGCAGATTGATTGCATGATTGAATTAACTTTATTGAAGTCCTGCGGGACGCGCTCTAGCACGCGGTGGGCAACTCCCACGTCGGGACCGCCAGGCCAAGCCCATCGGCCGCTTCGCGGGCCTGCTGGATAGCCCAAAGCTGATCGCCAGGAGCAGACTGCGGATGGCCGCCTCCCACCTGGCCATGGAGAAGGGCTTAATTGAAGGCACCCCCAGAGCATGGGCGCTAATGTGGACTTCTCCCAGCACGCGGGGCACGCGTCATCAGGATATAGTTCTTGGGGTATATTGCATGTAGTGTACAAAGATTCGGGTGTCTCCGTCTGTAGCAATCTAAATGAAAGCACCTGAGGCCATTAGTTTCGAGTGAGGAAGGGGGTACTCTCTCCGCGCAAAGCAATGCTGTTTCGTAACTTCATGCAGGTAGCGTGCGCGTCGCTTCCGTCCAAAGCCTATAGTGTGTGCCGTACATGTCCGGGGAACCATATTAGCGAACAGTGTTCTATTCTGTCGGGTCCGACACTTTGGAGTAGGTGCAGGGATTGTTCGGAAATTACATTGCACTCGTATGAAGTTTCAATATACATGTATTGCAGTGACGGAAATTTAACACAATCACGCGTTTATTTTGATGCAATACGGCTTCGGGGTCACTTTACAGGCACACCAAAGAGAAACAATAACTTGGTTTGGATTGACAAACGGCACTCTGGGAACTGTAATGCCACATGTGTTTCGTTATTTTAGCGGAAGCATTGAGTCAAAAATTTATTTTTAAATTTCGCGCTGAAATTTACACGCATGACGTCAGGTATTTTAAAATGTGTTTTCGTACTTTCATGACATTGTCTTGGTTAAAACTTTCTGAAACTTCGTAATCTGAGGTCTATGGCACCCTCTTTCATTTTAATCGATTAGAAGCTACGTAGGGCTCAATAGAAAGCTTCATAAATCTATGACGTCACGGTGTTTGGTGCGGGCATGGAGGAAGATGGGTGCGGAAACAGTAGCGGAAATCTCAAGATGGCGTCTCCGTCCGAATTTTTTTTTTCTTTTCGGGCGTTTTTTCACTTACCAAGCGCCGTATCGCGGTTAGAGTGGTGTTTCCGGGATTGTGAAATTGTAATTTACTGAAAACGGGGGGGGGGGGGGGAGGCACTAATACGCGTGAGAGAGAGAGAGATAAGTTTATTTACAGAAAGGCAGAGAGGTCGGCCTGAGCGATAGCTTGCTCTAGCCTGCTACTCTACACTGGGGAAGGGAATGGGGAAAAGAAAGATTAATGGATGACGATGGTGAGAGAGGGAGGTGAGTATGTAGTGTTCTTTCTAGCTGAGACACATTTTATAGCCGCGCATATAGTCCAGTTGTTTCCAAAAAGTTATAACTGCTCTTGTGACCGCAGTTGCACTATTGGTGTCTGGCCAAGGGCCCAACACGGTCTCATCAGTTAATGACCTACTGCGATATAGTTCAGTAGAAGAAATCAGTGTTTGTCATTCACGTGCGTATGCTGGGCAGACACAAAATATGTGCTCAAGCGTTTCTGGCACATCACAGTGTTCACAATTAGGACCGGTGTCACTGCGACCGATGATATGTGCGTAACGTCTTGTGTACGCCACACCAAGACGAACGGGGTGGATCATACTTGTGAGTTGCCGTTTCAATTTAGGGGGCATGCGAAACCTCATTTCCGGGTCCCATTTGTGAAGTCGCTGGTGTCGCCGTTCCGGTTTGGTCCAGTGCTGAAGTGTGTAGCTGCGCATCACGCAGCGAAGCAGGGCGTTCGTGTCAGCTCGTGAAAACGCAATGTGTACTTTAGGGGCACTGCTTAAGGCATTTTTAGCTTCAGCGTCTGCCTCTTCGTTTCCCATCACGCCGCAATGAGCGGCAATCCACTGGAAAGTGATAAGATGGCAATTTGTTGAAGTAACCTGAATAAGTCCTGTGATTTCTATTGCCAAGCTGTAATACGGACCTTGCTTCATGATGCAATTAATGGTTTGAAAAGCGGGTTTGGAATCACAGAAAATCGTCCAGGCTCGAGGTCGCTCTCCGGAAATAAATCTTATTGCCTCCCGGATAGCGACAAGCTCTGCGGCAGTTGATGTGGTTTTATGGTCCACTTTGAATCGTCGAGCGATATCCATGTCTGGGATGACAAAGGCTGAGGCAGAGGTGTTTAGCGTGGTGGATCCGTCGGTGTACACGTTCAAAGAATCACTGTACGTTGTATAAATGTGCGAAAAATCGCTTTTATTTATAGGGTCCCTTTGAATGGGAACCAATGTATTAAAAACAGCGCAAATTTCTGTTTGCACTTTGCGCTAGCATCATTGCCCTTCACTGAAGAATTGATATAGCACAATCGGAATTTAATTCACGGACCTCGCGGCATAAACTGCATGGTAACTAACGTGCGATCACCTTTGGCCTGGTTCGCAATACTGCAGAACGATAAGACTGGTGAGCGTGTCGAAAAATAGAATAAGCAACGAGAATGAAGGAAGAGAATTTCGAGGGCTCGTGTATTTTTTTTTTTCACATATCCTTAACGCTGATTTTCATTAGGACGTAACGAGAGGCATTCACGACCAAAATAACTTAAAAAAAACTTATTGAGGCATGCCGGGGGCATCATTGCAAAAATAATCTTTATTGCACCTCTAACAAAAATCAACAAAATATACACATTTTATAAAAACAGACAACAATGCAGAAACAATTAAGTATAAACTGTGAGGGTATGGTTTGGCATAGTAAACTCGTCATTAAATTAAGAGCCATGAATGTCATGAATTATGCCAAAGAAGGGGAATTTTAAGGGCTTGTTTTTCTGTGCTAGACACAACATTATGCTTATTTATGTCTGTCAGTTCAAAATAACGAATTGTACCAAACTTCCTCCATAGAAGGTTTTGAAAAATTACAAAACGCCAATCCTGCGGACTCGCTGAAATGCCCTTAAGATTATTTTTGAAACATCAGGTGCTTCTTGTCTAAAAACATCAATTGCACTGCAGAAGTGTTTTCCCAAACCCCCGATTCAGCATAGAGAGTGCCGTACTCTAGATGACATATAACCCAAGCTCACACATTTTTTCAAGCAGGTGATGCTCTTTTACACCAGAATGATCACGTTTCTCGGTGCCATCTCACATTTTTGCAATTGTACAAGGTTTCATACACTGTGCAGCCAAACTTCATTACAGAAAAGTGACAGCAGATACAAGAAAGAGCACTTAAGTCATATTTGATATTCACTAGAAACATACATTTTCTTACATGTTAATAAATATTCAATAAAACATATGTACTCTCTTCCTTACATTAGATATCATGAGTATTCCACATAAAAACTTCCCACTCAGTTTCACCAAAACAGGTTTTGTGTATCACATATGTGAGAACTAAGCATCGCTCTACCAGTGATATTATGTCCAAATAAGTAAAAACTGCAATGTAAACCTTCAACTTATATAAAGTGATGATCACACCTCAAACAGCACAGAATGAATTAGCCAAATCATAGTTTAAGAACTACTGATTTGGCCCTTTGGGTTTTCGATTTTTGATGAAGAAGGCACTTTTCTCAGCTAATTTCTAACAGGACATTTTTGTGTTTTGTTGCTATTTTAGTCATATGCAAACTAGTCACTTTTCTTGCAACTACACTGTTAAAGTGAAATGTCCCCAGTCTTCTTGAATTGCTTCTTAGAGAACAGTTGACAGCTTTGTAAAGTGTTAATGGCCAGTGAAACATGCTGCATTTATAGCACTGTATGTATTTTGCAATTTAACAAAACTGCAATTAATTATTGATAGAAAAAGATAGAGAGACCAGGATTGGGAAACACAATCTCGTCAACCACAGAAGAATTTAGTTTAGTACCCTTCAAGGAGGAATCGAAAGAGAGAGGAAAGCAGCACAGCACATGTCTGAAGTGGTCTCTCTAGCAGTATGGACAGGTGCATTACAAATGCTCACTCAAGATGGGGAACATCAAGCACTAGCACACGAACACTTTTCCACACCTGCAATGTACATGGCATGATATGTGTGGTTTAATGTCACAAAACCACCATATGATTATGAGAGACGCCGTAGTGGAGGGCTTCGGAATTTTCGACCATCTGGGGTTCTATACCGTGCACCCAAATCTGAGCACACGGGCCTACAACATTTCTGCCTCCATTGGAAATTAATGTACATGGCATGGTTCCACTGTTTCTGACTCTTGACATTGACTCAGATCACTGTTGTCTACTTGGAAGACTGACAGAAAATTTTACATTTTTTTATGTTGCAATAAGTAATTAATGACCCACTTATCATCACTTCTTTGCACATGCTCGGGACGGTTGATTATTTGCAGACAGTTTTATAGCGCACAGTCTCAGTTTCAAAGAGTGCCGGGCAAGGAGGCATCAAGTAGCATGATTTCATGTAAGCATAAGCTGGCTACATGAGCACACAGAACTTCCTTCACATGAGCACCGCCATGGCAACTCTTTCCAATGCAGGCTTCCTGGATGCTGTTATAATCCCCTCTCGGGTGTTGTAAATATGCGTGACCCCCCGAAAACAATTCCATCTCGAATTCCGCATTGTGATCTCAAAAACCCTGTTCATGCACATTGCAACAACCTCGCAACAGTAGCATGTCAGAGCAGCAACTGTGAGGTCAGGGAAATGAGAGACGAAAGTAGTCCAAGCAGCCCATTGTGCCACAGTTTAAGCTTGCCTGCCCAGAGGAACTGCCACGGCAGCCAGCTGATGGCGTTTACGAGATCAGCGATATTCCGCAGAACACCCAACAGGTGACCCAGTTGCTCCTTAGCAAGAAGATCGCATTCAGCCCTGGAAAGACAAGCAATCGTTCACAATCCATCTGTTAGCAGCTGGAAGCATGAAAAGGTGACTGACAACATGATGGTCTCTTGAGAAATTCCAGCCGCCACCAGTGCATTCATTTACCGTATGAACATTGCAAATCTCCTTCTTGTGATGAGTAAATCATAATCCAACTCGCTTACAGGTGATGTACAACACCTTAATATGTACATTGGGACTGTAAGTGGTGCCATAGCAGAGGGACCCATATTAACTTGACTACAGGGGACTCTTTAGCATGCACAAACATTTTTTAATTATGGTTTCGATGAAATGTAACCAGTGGCTTACTGATTACTGTCACAAGTTAAAACCTACAGGAGAGGACAAAAAATTGCTGGTAAGAGTCGAATGAAGGCACAAATAATTAAACTGCCAAATAGCATGGACACACAGCCTACTATGATGGCTCTTATTAAAAGTTTGAATTACTAATGCCATGTTCCTCAAGATAGATGGTTGGTTTTCATTCAAGGTATACAATATCACTGCCTTCAGATTTTGAAAGTGTCATCAGAGCCATCCTCGTCAGCCTGACTATGCCCACTGCAGGGCAAAGGCCTCGTCTCTCATCTTTTCCCAACCAACCCTGTCCTGTGCTTGCTGCTGCCACATTATACTCGCATACTTTTTAATCTCATAAGCCCACCTCACTTTCTGTTCACCGCTCATGCATTTTCCTTTTCTTGGAATACATTCAGTCATCTATTCCATAACCCTTTACTGCCGGGTGTCGCGAAATCGTGACATACCGGAAAACTTCAAGCAAGCAACTCACGAAATGCATGCCACCTTTAATGCCAGCAGTCAAGTACTCATGCGGAAGGTAGCTATCAGCAGGAACAATCTAGCACCGCATTGCAAAAGGTATTCAGTGCTGTTTTGTAGCTAATGGAAATGAGCGTGAAGCATGTGCAACAGCTCTCACTTTTTCGTTGTTTTTCACCGGGGTAGCTCATGTTCTATCTCCAATAATTTTGGTGTGCACACACCCAAGATGTGCCACACAACCTGTTACGTAGTTCTGAAGTACGTTTTTTGTTGCAACGTTCTCGCTTTTGTGACATATGAAGAATCTGCAATATACCTAAAAGTATGCATTAAAGTTGAATTTTGGATAATTTAACACCAGAATAAATAAAGGTTGCTATTTGAAGCTTAAAAATGAAAACAATTTTTGTATGTTTGGCAGTTTTATAATTCAGGCACTAATGAGTTAATAACTAGTGGTTATCCCACCTAAGTGCTCCAGGCTCTGCCCGTGACCAGTTTTTTTTCTTTATTTAAAGAATTATGACCTGTTTGTTCTCTGACCCACTATGCTTTCTTCCTGTCTCTTGAGGTTACACGTATCATTTTCTTTTATGTTTGTCACTGCATGATCCTCAATTTAAATTGAACCCTCTTTGTAAGCTCCTAAGTTCCTGCTCCTTGAGTAAGTACCTGTGAGATACAGCTGTCGTATACCTTCCTATTGAGGGGTAAATGTAAACTGCCATTCTATACTGTATGAAGTGAAAAATGTAGCATGGCCACCAACTCAACCTTTTGTGCTTGGGTAGACTACACTACCGGATAAAAGTGCTTGTGCCACTTTGTGCCATCTGAAACATGGCCATATTAATTCTCTCCTGCCCCTCGTTATGAGGCCCAAGTCGGCTCACAGAAGAGGATTGTGACTCTGCCTTACAAAGGTCAGAGTTGCTACCACAACTACAGGCTGTCCAGAGAGCCCACGATGGGGTGGTGAGGCGAGGCCTCCTCGTTCCTACGTGGGAGCGGCCTGCGACGTTGCTCTGAAAGAGTAGCATTTCTCAGGACCCAATAAATTTCTTTGTCTGTCTGTCTGCAGATAACCAATTATTTCAGGGAACCTTTTACAACAAGCCTAAGCGCATGTTACGATTGGGGTCTTGAAGATGACTAACACTCGTATTCACAAACCAACCTTATCCTTATCTTACATTTTCCTTATGGCCTATAAGCTCCACGGGCATTACACGGGTCAAATATGGTAACAGGGTAAAATATAGCTACCAGATTTATTAGGGAATACTAACTTACTTGATCATCAAGTGCTCTAAACAGACAGAATGAATAAGGAATACGTGAGATAGGATAAGGTTGCTTTGAATATGGACCTGAGACAATGAAAACTTGTTTTACAAGTTTTTTTTCTTCAACTTTCACCAGTCGTCTGTAACTTCAAGGACAAAGGTTACAATACAGAAGTCACATTCTAGAAATAACAAGCCTGTGTGATGAGGAAATGGCTCTAAATAAAAAATGCCTCTTCACATAATTCTAATTTGTAACCACACAGAATATTTTGAGCCAACCAGTATCACTGACACTAAAGGACGGTGGCAAGTCAAGCTCAAGTCAAGGAGCATTTCTGAACACGGAGGTAAATTGCCTAACTGCGGCCCACTGATTAAGTGAGTTTGAGACTCTTGTCCTAGGGTTTAGTCTTTAGAGCAGGAGAAGTTTTCTTGAAGCTACAGTGCTCTCATCTGAAAAAAGACCGGATTTAATGTTTTAAACAAAAAATTTAAAAAGAAACAAAGTTGTTGCAGCTCGGTGCACACCAATTAATTTTTGAATGTTTTTAATGAAGCTACCTCCAATAAAAAAACTTATATGAATTACAAGGTTTTTAACCTTTTAATTGCGAGGGGGCATACTATAATGAACAATTTGGAAATAATATTGACATGTCCTAGCAAAGCCTAAGTGACCGGCAGAAGGATCGCCGTGGCACGCCTGGAATATTTCTTATGTGGTCTAGACAATTGCAGCTATGGCAACCCATTCTCATCACCTAAAAAGAATTGTGCTATGCATGTCTGTGAACCTTCTTGCTATATCTCTATCAATGTGTTTTGTACTCATTGTATGAAGGCTGCATTTATTATGTATTTATTATCTTAATGAATAATACAAAAGTTTTCTCAAGACTAAAAATTAAGGCACCATTACTTGCAGAGGCAAGCTTTCCTCAAAATGGTGAGTACTTTAGCACACCTATAGTTTTGCTATGCCAAAGGAACTGTCAGATGCTGGTACAAAGAGCAAATTTATAGATGTAGATTTTTCTATACCCACCTTGTACCATCGCCTTTTATGCTCGACAGTTTTTCTCGCTTTTGTTGCAGAAGATTAATGGTCCGAAGTGATCTAAGATGATAACACAAAACAAAATACATAAAATTAGTTAATCAAAAACTTAGCTTTGTCAGAGCCAAGAAGTACATTCCCTGCTTAATTAACATAATTTCAAAATTCTGTAAAAAAAAACTGCACCTTCAAGCACAATTAGAATGCTTTTGTTAGGTAAAACAAAAGCCTTCACATACCTTGCAATACCACAGTAAAGGGAGATGGCCCACAGCACTGTGCTGGCAGTCTCCCAGTGGCTGCCATCGAGAGAGATTATTTTTTTGTTGCACAACCACGAGATGTGTTCGACGGGATAAAACACCTGGTCAGCAACGTTCTTTAGCACACCCAACACTTGCAGCGTGGAGTCGTTCTCCTACGAAGGGTAAACTCGTTATATGTAGGCAGCCTCTGGACCACTCAGAAGCTCGGACATGTATGCACGGTGCATAGTACTACAAACGGGGAGAGGAAAATGCACAATAAGGAGTGAAGCTTCCAATGCACTAAATAGATTTCCTGTTTTCTGGCGAAACGGATTACCAGTGGTTGCAGACATCACATAAGAATTCAATATAGACTAGTAAATTGTCATTAAGTGGCTAACTGATGTTTCATCAAACTTACATTTTACAACCATGGTTTAACTGCAGAAGTGAAGCGCCTCACAGATTATATTTTTCCACTTCGTCTAGCATGTAGTACTAAAGCAGTCTTTGGGTAAACGAATACTACAAAGCGTCATACATCGGTTATCCTTTATCTAGTACACCTGCGGCACTTGGAATCATTAGAGAATGAACATCATGCAGAATTCTCGGACGCCTTCGGCTGGTTCCACAGCTACCTCTTTGTCCACTATTGTCCGTCAAACCGCTTTAGCCTTCAAAGATCCTTCCTCAGAGATCCCACGTGCGGGCATTACATAAGAGGTGGGATACAAGAATAATTTATGACACTGGACCAATCAGGGTGAGGATAAGAAATGATATCGTACAGCTTCAATGAATGCTTCTGGTTTGGTGATGGCAACGATGGCGTAAGGAAGGCCGTTCCAGTATACAATGGTGCGTAGGAAAAGGGAAGACAAGAAGATGAGAGTGTGGGTGCGGGGGCGAGTAACACTTAACGAATGGCTTGTACAAGGTGATATACTGACGATGGTGAGAAATAAGGCGTCTGATTGAGTGAACTGTGGTATATTTTGTGTAATAGAGATAGGCTGGCAATGCGGCGGAGACGATCGAGAAAGGGTGGACAGGCCTGTTTCCGCCTTCAGTGTGGATACACTTACGTTGAATGAATATGATGATTAATGCAAGCCACTACCATACACTTACATGCTTTCCAGTTCCGTAAGATAAACTGTACTGCAACATTGGCCAGTCATCGAGAAGCCTACACACAACACGACAGTGGCTGAACTCTGAGCTTGCGATTCTGAACTTTCGCGACAAACTTCCTTTTGTAAGACCGCTGCTCAGGAGACAAGCGTAACCCAAAGTCCGAACAAGTACATCCCGACCACCGTGAGTCTTCAGCATCTCCTCGAAGCTCTTCATCACCAACAATATAGTTGTACGAGAATTATTGATATCAGAAACACGAAACCTGTCGTTTCAGTTCTCGCACGTGCGTAAGCTGCAGTAAACAAGCACAAACAGATGTCGGCGCAGTAATACGACAACCACGCCAACGTGATCCAAAACTTTTAGCCAAATTTTACTTTTAACAAAGACCAATGTAAGACAGTGAGTTCATTGACAAATAGCAGCAAAAGTATACAGATGCGTGCCAGAATATATTCATTATATGCCTCAAAATAATTAAAATTGTAAGTATAACTCGCACTATGCTTTCAACTCGCATTCAGCGCTTGTGCGCAGGCAACCAGCCCCGCAAACATTCAGCCTGCAGCACGGTTCATTGCGCGGCCTAAAACATTTATAATTTACCTGTGTTTTACATAGTTTGCTGTCAAGAAGCATGGTAAGTGTTCACATATAATTCCGGCATGTCATAACAGCACCTGTTTCCTTACACTTGACAGTTTGAAACCACGTAGCACCAGTTTGTCATAACACATCGCTGCTTTCGGTTTTCAGGCGCGGTATTTCCGGGAACAAGACATAGATGGTAAGACCGTGTTCATCACTCTGTTACCCGTTGTTTAATATGTTCAGGAACTACCGCGATGCATCACCGATCTATTTATATGTTGCAGAGTTCCGGGACTGTTTTTATTTGAACGCGCACTCCGGACAAATTCGTACGCTCGATGAGCTTACCCTGATCATGCGGTCACTGGGGCTAAGCCCTACAATTACCGAGCTTAAGAAGTACTTATAAAGACAAAGGTAAGTGGCTAGCTTCTTGCACGGTGAATGTGAGACTGAAACATTTCGCCACCGCTAGCTTCCTACCAAAGTTTCTCATCGTTCGTCTCGATCGTTGCTTCAGGCTTCGTAGTTATAATCAGCAGTATGCAGGCAGCAACTAAGAGGCAATCATATTACAACTACTTGAGAAACGATATCAGTGTTGGGACATATGTGTGCCGATGGATGCAATGGATTCAAATGCTGAACCGAACTAATAAACTTTCAGAATAACAAAGAAAACAAATCTAACGTCTCACTTTGTTGCACATATGTAGGCACCGCCTATATTTGGACTGAAGCGGTGCATTTCTAATGAACTTAGTGTATGCGCATGCAGCGCGCGTCATTTGATTCTGATAAGTATATAGATACATGTATCTGATGTAAGATATTCAGAGAAGACGATGCATTTCGTTGTGTGTTTATGATTATATATATGTACACACTAGTGTTTATACTTCCCACGCTCTTGGTCCAAGCTCTCTCACTTGCATATACCTTTATGCAACTAATTGTTCAGCTTTAGTTCAGCACTGTGTTGCTTGGTTTATGCATATTGGGCAAGTGTGCCCATGATAGCAAGAATTAATTTGCAGCTCCACCCACCATCATGGCATGCATGGTAGTTTTGCTCAGTTTAATTGAGCCCTGTCAATCAATAGATCATTCAAGTGCAGTCGTATCTACCTGTGCAGGAGGCAAGATTTCGTTTGCAGACTTCTTGGAGATCATGCATGCCCATAGTGAGAAGGAAAGCATACCTGATGAAATTGTTAAAGCCTTCAGAGCCAGTGACAGATCTGGATCTGGTCAGATCTCCGGGAGAGAGCTACGTCGCATACTCCTCAACTGGGGAGAAAAGTTGTCACCACGCGAAGGTGAGGTGCTCTCTGTCTGCTGCTCTTTGTCAATCCATGCAGAAGCTCCAAGAGCGATTCCGGCAATATTTTGACATGCACTGAATACAATAGAAATTTTAATGCCAGTCATTTACGAGAAGCTTCAAGAGCAAGCACTAGCGATTTTTTTATTTCCACTGATAACAGTAAAATTTTCAATACATCTTTCGTGCTAGGATGACCAAGCTGACCTAAAGAATGCGATTGCAAGTCATTTAGTTCTGAATGCAAATTTTAACCCTTTATATCCCAGGTGCCAGGTTCATAACACTTTTGCCAATTTTTTTTTCCTCTCTCGAAATTTCACTAAGGGACCCTAGATCCCACAAACTTGAAAGTTTGAGGTTTCACCTACACTTGATAGTTAGCGCTATTGATACTGGCACACGAGTGCTTCATTCATCGCAAAAATAGACACCATGTGCGCCTGTCGAAAGACTGCGAGTACCGGACTTTTTCGTGCTCCTCTTGCTTATTGTCTGCAATATCTAGTTACAAGTGCCGACATTTTTCTTTGCAAAGTTTACTTAACCAAACCAGTTCATAGTATTTTAGTATGATTAGTTATTGACCACTTTATATGCAGTTTTTACTGCACATAAAGTTATAGACAACTTTATGGCACTTCAGACTAGGAAGTCCAGCTTTCTGGATATGTGCATTGCAGTTATTTTATTACTTTACTTCAAAAAATCTTTTACAGCACCTCAAAGCCTTAAAAAGGTTTTGTATTATGCGAGCAACAGTTAGAAGACGAGCAAATCTGAGAAATTCTCTTTCAAAATGAAAATACGATTGCAAGCAAAGATGACAACTTGACTGAGAAGAAGAGTATATTTCGCTGGAGAAACAGCCATGCATAGATGGCAAAAGCTCTAGAGACAGTGACAATGAAAAAGCTATACTAACATTGACTCAGATGAAGAATCAAAAACACTGGCACCGGGTGAAGTATCTCAACTTAATAGAAAAGTCTGAAAACTAAATCAGAAAAAATAAACACTAGAAGAAATCAAGTGCTTTCAAACTTCTTATCCCTCAAGAATGCTTTTAAGAGTTCAAAAGAATGGCTAGTTGGGCAAGTTGGCACTGATCCATAAGTGTACTGCGCAAAAAACAGACGGAAACACGAAGTAGAGAAAAAAGACAGACAAGCGCAGACTATCAACTGAAGCATTATTGCAAGACCTAGGCAATATATACAGGATAGAATAAAAAGCAAGAGAGAGCAAAGGGGGAGAAGAAGAAGGCACGAGGATTCAAATCAACAAAACCTGGGCAACATCAGGAAAGCGCGCACGTCATGCAAAACCTAGATAGAACAACTCCTCATTGTGTATGATAAGAGTCCAGTGCATGCTGTCCTACTGTTAACTCTCTATTCTTTACTGTAACAAATGTGGCAGTGATAAAATATGCAAGTATTGATTTCAAGTTTTTCTCCAGCTTTGAACAAAAACTGCCTGAAAACATCATTTTTCTGTTGCATTCACTGTGCAAACTGTATGTAGGAAACAAAGGGCTAAACACTAGTTTGCACATTCCTGAAATCATTCTCTAGAATCTGACGTTTTATGGTCCGCACATTGCTTGCAATGTTGATGGCTGTTTCACTCAACATAGTGACCTCTCAGTGCTAATCTCCTCACTGATATTGCCGCTGCTAAGCTCTAACAGATGGCACAGCTCACCACGTCGTTGGATGACACCGCCCATTTTGTATTACTGACACTAGTAGCACATGTAACCTGTTTACGTTCTGGCTGGATAGATATTGAAATAAACATATACATGAACCAACCACCACTTTCAATTTCAACATGTTTTTCGGTTATTTAAGTACTGATGAGTTTCTAAACAAGTTGTACCACCAAATGTCGATATCATTGAAAATGGCAATAACCTGTTGTACAAAAACACCGAAATCACTCTTTAAATGTGAACAGTCCGTAGGATTTCCGTTATGAACTTCTTTGTCTTTAGCATCATGTAGTGCTGTTGACTAACCTGATGAATGCTGGGCCTAATCAATGGGTTACATAGTAGCACAAACTTGGAAAAACAGGTTGGAGAACCAGTTGTAAAGTTGTAGACCAACCAGTTGTAAAATGTTAGTTTACAAACAGTTGCAAGCTCTTACTGGATGCTACTAGAAGCAATTGTGCTACAAAACACTGAATTGTCTTAATAATACAGCTTTTTCTGACTTGACCTTTGTATTGTACTGTTTTTCAGTGGATGCAATATTTCGGGAGGCTCGCATATCACCCAACGGCCCCGTGCAGTACAATGATTTGGTGCGGGTCGTGTGTGCACCAGTGCCCGACTATTATTGATCCAGTGCCGGGCCCACGACCAATTTTCTCAGTGCACATCAGTGCAGTTCTCTATTATCTTCATAATTTATTTTTGTATGGAATGGTGAAAGCAATAAATATTTTTGTAGTAGTGTGGTGCTTTTGGTGATGAGAACTTCAGCAGCTTTGCCATTTTGCAAAACCACACTTGCACTGAATGAAGACCTGCAAGTTACTTATTGCACGAAAAACTTGACAGGTGTTGAAAATCGTCCTTATTTTAAAATGCATGCTTCATGTTGCAAACGGTTTTCGGCGCTCATAGCAAAGCAAGTCCTAAAAAAACGTCCATTTGTTTTATATGAAGCGAAGCTGTGATCACGCAAAATAATGTCGTTTCTCTCTGTGATCTAGGCAAGTGATTATTTAGAACAATAACAAAAATGCTCACAAACCACACAGGCCACACCTTTCACAGCTATACTTTTCATAAAAGATCAGCATTCAACCAAGATTAAAGTAATTGTGCACTGGGAGATGACGGCACGTGACCGTTTTCATGAGAAGAAATTGTGTGGAGAGGTGTGCATGCACATCAGTACTAGAGATTTACTAATGTTCAATGATTGATAAATTGTACTCCAGGAATTGTAACACCATTAACTTCGCTATTACAGGTTTATTAATAGAGAAAATCAAGGCCAAGGTATATTCTTTAAATTTCGCACTGATGTAACCTTAAAATTTAAGGGTTAAAATTTAGCACTTAAAAGAAAAACTGAGGTTGTGGCCTCATTATATGTAGTTTCGTGTGGCAAACACAAAAATCAAGTCGAAATTTTGCATACGAAAAGTTTATTTTGCCAAAATTTTACTAGCAACGGGCGCCTCGGCAAGCATCGCGAGTCTCGCCACCGCCTGTGATTGGTCGAAGCTCCGTGATTATGACATCACGTTGAAACCACGTGGTTGAAACGTTGGTTGAAACGAGTTCGCTGTTACATGCATCCGTGCATACATGTTCGAGCCAGAGCGACGACCGAAGACGGTGAGAACACAGGAAAGCGAGTCCCAACCAGCCACCTTCACCCGCGTCGGAAACGTAGACTGGTAAGTATAACACGAATGTCAATGCTTAATTTCACCGCAGTAAACTGATACAAATGATCCGTTCAGCCGTGTTCATTAAATCTGGTAAGGAACAGCAGCATCGGCACTCGCTTTTAGCCGCGTATTGGCACGGTCCGCGCAACATGCGCACATCGTGTGGAAACATCAGCTGTTCGTGGATATCGCTGCTTGTTAATGCGGTCAGTATCGCATGTCACTGCGGGCAAGAAGCATGCGATGAGTCGGTGTGCTACCTCGAAGAAGAAAAAAAAAACAAAAAAAAAACACACTCGGGTGCAGCTTTATGTTTGCGCGCCGCAGTGGTGACATGTGCTGTGAACCGCGCTGCGAGCATAGATAGTTTGACTCATGTGTTGCAGTTCTTTTTACAATACCGTCGCATTTTCTTAATTCTAGCCAGCACTACAACGATAGTGTGTTCAAATGCAATCGGAATATTAGCTGCGTTACAAGCATGAGACTGGTGTGTGCCGTCGTCACACATCCGTCAGTGCTTTATTTACTACAGGACGCGAACATTGAACCTCTAGAGATACAACACCATACTTTAAATGTTATACCTAATTCACCACGAACACGTCAAAATAGACAAGGATTTGTACATTAAACTGTGTGGCCGGCGCCCCTACTTGTTCGTCTCATTCGCTCAAACTAACTGAATATTTCTGCCGAACTAACTTCTTCCAACAGCCTTTTTTCCCGCGTGCCATCCGTGAATGGAATGAATTGCCTGAATATGTACAGCAGAGCCCAACCATGCATATCGTCGTTTGTCCGCGCTCTCGCTAATCTATGACGTAAGGTGTTTCAACATAAACGTATTCCTTTCGTTGCTGAGCTGAGCACTCAGTAAGCAAGTGCTCTTTTGCGCATTTTTGTCACGTTTTTAATTTCTGTCATTCCTCTGTCGTTACTTCTTCATTTTTAAAAGCTACGTTTTTTTGTTCTGTTCTTTTTAATTCATTTATTTGCTTGCCGGAATTTTCACCTGCAATGCTTTGTGCTTATGCTATATTGTTTCCGATGTTTCACATGCTGTAAATACTGTTCATGACAGATCTCTTAACTTTTTTTTTTCTTTTTCCTCAAGGTGTGATCACAGTTCCTTACTTTTGTCTCTTTTTATCTTTTGTACAACCCACTGCTGCTTATGGCTTCCGAAGCAAGCTGGCAGTAATAAATAAATAAATAAATAAATAAATAAATAAAGCACCCGGTTTCGATGCTGCGTACTTACATCTGCAGACACATGGCTTTGCCATAGGTGCTCATGTACACTCTGCATCCAAATGGGGAAAGAGGGGGATACATACAAGACGTGCCTGAACACTGATAACATTTTGCAGTCACACATTTTTTTCTCTTTTTTTTTTTCGGTGCAGTGTCATGAAGAAATACCATCACCTTCATTTCAATATACGGATACGTAGCACGCTTGCATAAATCAATCTCGGCACTACCACCATGACAAGTCCCATTCAGCACAGTGTAGGTTGTAAGCAGCAGTACAATGTTGTACAGGCCGCAAGCTTCTGAACAAGAAAGCTAGGGGCACGAGCACTATAGGTGCCAGCGGTATGTTCACTTAAAATATGCGCATTCGGGAGTATTCCCTAGCCGTTATCGAATCTGTTTCACAGGCAGTGATTGAAATCGAGTAAGCCTTTCTTTAGATCTAGGGCTGCTGTGCAGACACCTTGGAATACGATTTTGGTTTTGACCAGCAGTGACCGAATGTCACGGTACCGATTAAATGTGGATCATCGTATGAGTAATTGTCATATTCATTTATTCAAGTAGCTTAAAGGCCCGAAAAGCATTACATAGGGGGGATTGCAATGAATGGGACAAATAATAGACAAAATAAACACTAGAAAATAGTAAGTAAAACATTTGAGGAGTTAGACAATGGCTAAAGAAAAGCAATCACAGTTAAAGCACTTAACAATGAATATTATTTCCATTGGAGAGGGGACAGAGCTCAAGATAATGATTAACTTGAAGTTTTAGGAATGACTTAAAATTTTAATGATGAACAAATGAGTCATGATTGTGAATCAGTGTGATGTTGGTAGGGAAAACATTCCATGCAAAAATGGTGATGAGAAGTTGCGAGTGATTCAACAGATTAGTGCAGGTGAAAATCTGTTCAATTTTATAATGCTAATATAGTTGTGAAAATATGTGGATGAGCTGGCCTGATATTGAAGGTATCGTGGGATATATTGATTGTAGTGAAGCTTATGAAAGAGGGACAATAGTGTCGGCATTCTGCGCTTTTCTAGAGGAGCTAAATTGACTGAAGGTTTGATATCAGTTATGCTTGATGAGTGCAAGTAGTTTTTTTTTTGTGATGGAGCTAGCAGCTTTATTTTGTACACACTCCAGCTTCTGTATGAGGTAGGTTAAATGCGGATTCCAGATCAAGGAGGCGTATTCAATTTGTGAGCATCTTAAAAACAAGTTTAGTCTCATAGTTCGCCGGATGCGAATTTCGCCTCATGAAGCCAAGTGACCTGATGCTCTACTAAAAATCGCATCTGTATGAGCATTTGGTGACAGGTCTGATGGCAAATGAACACCAAGGTACTTTACTGTGGATACAGAATCTATGGTTATGTTTTTCAACGCGTAGTCGTATAACACGGGGTTGACCATTGTCCCGAACTTGACAGCTTTTGTTTTATTTACGTTAATTTGCCACTCATTACACCATTTACTGTGATTGACAGTAATTTGTTCATAAATCACACAGTCATCTGCAAATGATCTGTGGAATGCAAACCATTAGTGATATTGTCCATATAAACTAAAGACAAGATAGGCCCGAGCATATAACACTGTGGTACGCCAGATGTTACGTGCATTAACGCAGACGAATGATCATCAATGAACATGGATTGGCACCAGTTAGTTTAGAAGTTGATAATCCACATTTTAACAATTTTTGTATTTATGTTAAAAAGCAAATGAGTTCTGCAGAAACCTGCAAGATGGCGGAGAGCATTTTTTAGGAAAGGGAAAGGAGGGGGGGGGGACAACTACCCGTTGTAGCATGAATCCACAAAGAAATCTGTACGCATTTCTTAGAAATCCGTTTTTGCACTATAACAGGTGGTTGTCTTCTTTTCCTTTTTTGGGAAAAAAAAAAAGAAAGAAAACCCTTCCGTCACCTTGCAGATTTCCGCAGAATTCATTTGGCATTACTTGTGTCCATGTCCTTCAAGTTGTCAATCAATTTGCCCTCACTGTGCCATTTGTTAGCTTTTTAACAAGGAAGCTAACTGAGCTAATTGAGAAAGCTCAATTATTATAGTGGCTACTCCGGAAAGTTGTTGGTCCCAGGTTCGAACCTCAGACCAGGATGAATTTTTTGGCAATTAAGAAGCTTTTATTTATGTGAAAACCGTACGAATTTCCTTATGACTTCGTGCTACAATGAAGGTTGTCTTCTTTCTCTTTCTATGTCAAGACCTAAAAGTTTATGAACAAGCCGCAAGTGAGGAAGCTTGTTAAAGGCCTTTGTGTAGTCTGCTAATATAGCATCAGTTTGATCCAAGCAATGAACAGAGAAGTCATTAATTAATTAGAACATTTGCATTTCACAAGAACAACCACACAGAAAACTGTGCTAGTTGATAAAGAAGAAATTATGTTCTGTACAAAACTTCAGATGAAGTTATATCTTCTAGTAGTTAACAATACGTGCTAGTTAAGGAAGTTGGTCTGAAATTTGATAGGTTAGACGGGTTACAATATTTAAATATAGGAATTATGTGAGGTTCCTTTCAATCATCTGGGACGCATCTCTTGTCAATAGACTGCTGGAAAATTGTGGCTAAAATGTTGCATATTGCAGAAGTTTTGGCATTTTGAGAAGCTTAGGGCAGATGCCATCAGGACCAGGAGCAGAGTTAGTCGGAAGACGATCGATTCAGGACTGTATCCCTTCCAGGTTCATCTTGATGTCGTACATGCTTGAATGCAGAAGAGGGAGCTGAAGGTTACTTGGAATAGGGGTCTCATCCGCAAA